CCACTGCACAGCTTGCGCATCCTAAACCACAAACCTCCCTGAGAGCCCGACCCCAAAAGGGTGCTTCAGGCAGGGATGCGCCAGAAGCTTCCGAGGATACCTGCCAGGGCACACTGGGGAATCTGCGGCATCGGCAGGAAACACTGAGCCTCCCAAATGCCTCCAACAATCTACCAAGAATTCAAGTCTGCGCCAACTCCTGAATCGATACTAAGGTCTAGCCAAGGCAGGGGAAGCCGCTGTCTGACGGGCCCTGAGAAAAAACCCACAAGAGCTAAGAGCCATGAGAAGCAAAATCGAACCCAGTGCCTCCGGCGCCCAAGGTGGCTCTGGAAGCTCTGACAGCGACGCCTCCCAGAGACATGCTGGGTTTCGCTCACTGGTCGCTGCAGTCGTGGATAGTCGTGGCCAGGGGTGGCCAGGACATCTGATCATGAAAAAATGCTTGTTTGTCTAATGTGGGGTGGCCTGTTCTGTGCCGTTGCTACGTCTTTGGAAGTCAAAGGAAATATTACACAACAAAAAACGCTGCACCTCCTCACTGCGAAGCTGAACCGTAAGAAAAGCACATTCGCCTGCGTGGGACCCGAATCTCAACCTATCCAGCCTCGTCCCAGCATGAAAACTGCCACATACTCTGATTTTGCAGGTCACATGCGCGCCGCACTCTCGGTGAAAGCGCAGGTGTAGTTCCTCCGATTTCGGAGTCTAGACCGACTTCAAAGACAACCTTGCTGCCCCCGGAGCAGCGGTACCCAGCGCAGGTTTGTCTGCTTCCTCGGCCCTCAGCGGCATCGCCTGCTCAGAGGTGTTAAGGTTTGCGAACTGAATCTCCGTAACCGCGAAACCCTAACACCCTCTACTCCTCACGATCTCCTGTGGAGCACGGCCTTCCGGCCCACTTTTCGGATGATGTGGCGGTTGCCGGGCAGCTCTAGCTCCTGCCATCAAGGACCTTCAAACTATTCGTGAAAATTATGTGCGTAAATATGTTTATTATGTATGCATTCTTTACTTATGTATTTATATGTTTATGTTATATACATTGAGTTTGTGCGTATATATATATATGTATATGTATATATCACATATGTATGTACATATGTATAGAGTAATGTGCCACACTGGACAAGCCCCGAAATTACCAATGCCGCCTGACCCTGGCACATCTCGCTCCTCCACCTTGTTCACCTTCACCGCCGGCTCTACCACTATGCAGCTCAGAGTCTTCAGTGAGCTCCAGTACCTACCTCGAGCTTGCGAGGGTTTAGGGTTTAGGGTTTAGGGTTTAGGGTTTAGGGTTTAGGGTTTAGGATGCTTGGGTCTTCAGACTGGTGCAGCATCGGGTTGAAAGCTGACATGAAGAATCACCAGGCACTGGCCCTTCAGACATCAGGCCAAGCTACGATACTTGTGCCAGACATCTTTGTTCGCGGCCTGGATCAGAAAGAACCCCCCCGCTGCACCCAAGCCAGAGTGGAAATTGAAAGGATGACAGCGAGCCGTGCCGGCAAGCAACAAAGGGCTTGTCAACTGTACGTACATCTCACGGATGACGGCACGCGTTTGCACTTCCAGCTGCCCCGTACTTGACCAGAGCTTGCACGAAAGTGTCAACCCAACCCTAAACGAATCTTTCAGCCTAACATACATCCTGAAGCAACCCTTAGGACCCTTTGCCAAGCCGCTAGAAATGCTTTGGAGACTTTCGCCTCACAACGGCTGCAACTTGAAACAAGAGAGAACTGCAATCACAGTATTGGCTTTTGCATCCGGCATTCTACGCCTGAATCACAAGATTGCCTTCTCGTTCCTACTCGGCCATAACTAGGCTATCTCAAATGGAATTTTTTCCTGCCTGTACACATGATCTGCCCTGCACATCCCAACATCCTCCCAATGTCTGACGGCTGCCCACCACATATTCTACTCACTTGGCACTCGTTTGGGATCCCAAAGATCTTCCGTTCTCTCTCGGCGGAGCCTGCCGCCAGTTCAAGTGATTCACTGGCGCGGCATCTATCAAGGCACAGCCTGCAGAAAGGATTCGGCATCACCAAGACATCCAAGGCAAGGCTGCGGCAGCCTGCTACAGTTTCCCTAAAGCACCACCTCAGCCGCCTAAGAGCCCCAGTATGCGGCGAGGGGCTGCTGGTGTGCTTCATCCGTCGCGCCAGGAAGTTGCACCAGACCATGTCCTCAGAAGCACAGGGCCCTGACTGGCCGACTCCCAGCCACATCCGAGGCCCCGACCAGTCCCCAATCCTCAGAAGCGTGAACCGCATTTGACGGCGGGCGCTGGACAGCTCACGTCATGAACGTTTGCAGCCTTGTCCGCTTTTTGCCAATTCTGAGGCTGGGTCTGAGGTGTTGTGTATGCAATCTGTGCCTTAGCATCTGGGCTGAGCAGGCCGCGCTGTGACATTCTTGGTACCTTTGGGGGGGTGCTAATTAATATGACGCCCGTCAGGAAGTTGATGGCAGCAGCGTTCGGCACCTGATACCTTTCAGCCTTTAGGTCTCAAGGCCTTTCAAAGACCTACAACCTGCTGCCCCAATGCTACTGCTACCTCTTCTCACAAAGGTTGAAGGTTGGGACGTTCCCCCTTATACTAACAGTCCTTAACAGGGAATACAGATAGTACTACCTATTACAATCCCTACTAAGGACTGTTAGCTTCAGGGGGAAACATTCCCAAGTTCAAGGCCGAGCCGCAGTCGTTGAACACGATTGGGAGTGCCGCCGGTGTGAGGAGCGGCGCGGTCAGTTCTACAAAATCTGTGTGCCGGTAGTCCTCAGTTGGTCTGCTCTTCGCATGTCTTCGTAGCCCTCTCAGAGGGGTTGGAGTCTTAAAGCCACGAAACCAAAAGCCCGCAGGAGTCGTAGCACCCTGAAGCTGTCTGTGCTGCGCCGTCCTTCTAGCTACACAATAACACACATCTCGCGTGGGTGTGGCTGTGAGGCACCAGACATACTCTCGCCGCCCAAGCGGCACATTTCGGGCTGGGGCGCTCGAAAGTCCAGATGGAGCTTTGAAGCTCCTCGTAGCTGCCTCGGGAACTTTTTCGGCAGCGACATGCCAAACAGGTTGCTCCATCCGTAGACAATTCTTCTAATCTTACACTTCGGTCTGGGCACAAGACGTGTCCGAGCATGGTCATGCTCTCAATATGTGAAATATGAGGCAGAGAGGCTCGGAAACTAATTAGAGAGTCTAACCTGGACCTGCTTGCATCAGGTGCTGAGTTGGCGTCGTATGCGCAGCTGCTGGCTGGGCAAAGACAGGTGGCTTGAGGCAAGGAGCATGCCAACAAGTATGGCTACTTGGCACATGTGCGTCAAAAACTTGGAAATCACAGAGGCCGGAATGAGCCACGGGGCTGGATGCGGACACGTCCGTCTCCTCGCTAGTAACCTGCGCTCCGCGCAGTCTGGGACCGACAATTTGCATGTCTTGAACATGCCGAAGGTTTGAGGAACCCCACTCCTGCTCCCAGCGTTGACTTGTGCAAGCAGAGCAGGCCACGTGTGCTCACCACATCTTAGACGCTCACCATCGGACACTTGTTAACAGCTTGAGATCGGCGTGCCTGGTGAGCCTGCTCTTGTAAGGAAGAAGCCGTCCTCAGCGGCCTCAGTGTCTCGGCGCTCTCGGTCCATATGCTGACTTGGGCGGCATCTCATTGATGTTGTGGGTCTTCAATGGTCTTCAGACTTCATATGTGCTGAAAATAACAAGTTCCCTTCTCCACTCGGTCTTGCAAAAACTCCCTCACTGAGATCGTGGCCGCACGCCCACATGCTGCACTGGGACCTGGTCTTCGGGGCAGCAATGCAAATGTCCAAGCTACGAAGATGTATATGACAAAACGCAAGGGAATTGTTTGCAAGCTCCTGCTCGGCGATCACGTTACATGCAGGATGGATCTAGATCTTTGACAGGAAGCCTTCTTTCACGGCTTCTGAAGGTGGTCAAAAAAGCCTCCGAGGCTAAGCCCTAAACCTCAAACCCCACAGCCTAAACCCTAAACCCTAAACCCTAAACCCTAAACCCTAAACCCTAAACCCTAAACCCTAAACCCTAAACCCTAAACCCTAAACCCTAAACCCTAAACCCTAAACCCTAAACCCTTCCCAAGACCCGAACCTTCTTCGGTGGATGCGGGTGCGGGCTGTGCTTCCTTTGCCCTTTGGGAGGGTGCGCGGCCTGGCAGAGATTGAGCTCAGCCAGGGCAGGCCGCGCCAGCCACTGAAATGAGGAAAAACCATGTTCAGGGTTTAGGGTTTAGGGTTGAGGGTTTAGGGTGCATGGCTTCCCCCCCCCCGGGCCATGAACATCAACCGATGCCATGCCAAGTGACAGTCAGCACTAGGAAGCAGATGTACAGATGCACAGAATCCCCGTGCCTTCGATGCCCTTGCGCCCTTCTTGCCATGGACGAACGAAGGCTTCACCCAGGTCACTCCTGGAGCACCGTTCGCGCACGTTACGGGGAAGACTTAGGTACGAACAGCTCCCTAACAGGGATTCGAGGTACCCCAGACTCGGATCCCGAGGACTCAGTCAGTATAAGTGGGGAACCTCCCAAGGACCCTCAAAGTCGCCTTTGCCAACGAAGGTGGGGCCGACGATGAAGGCGTTGGAGAGGCGGGCCATCCCAAACAGCTTTGTCAAGTTGGTGCCTCCCAGGTCGCGACAAGCCATCAGCAACAAGTGACCTTTCCGCTGCACCTTCGAAGGCCCTTCGGTGACAGGGCAGACTATGGCTCACTTACAGGCACGGTGTGGATCTCGGTTTGGGCTGATGCTACCTTCTCCCCTCCGGCTGGCTGTTTTTTGGAGGGTCTTTTTCAAGCACTCTTTTGTGGCTTCTGATCCCGAGCCTGTCAGATCCAAGTCGCTGTCCAAGCCCCAGATGTACTCGTACTTGGACTCCCAACTCTCCTGACAAAGTTCGAGATTAGGGGCACAAAAGGAGCGTTGAAGTGAATTGAAGCTTCAGGCAGTTCCTGGACCCTTAGAGGGGTCCAAGACCAGAGCACCAGCCGCCAGCCCTTTAAGCTCCTCCGGAACCATCTTCGCCTTCATGTAGGCATCCCGCATGAACTTGAACTTGAATCCTCACGATTCACTTCGTGCACACGGAACAAGTGGTGGGACTCACACGTCTTGCTTCCACATCGCAGTTGTCATTCCCTGCGCCCACACTCCCCAAGAACTCTTGGTGCCAGCTGGCCTGGACCGACGAAGCTTCCTGCCACGTTCTCCTTGTACCACTGTGCGCCCCAGTCATCTGCAGTGCCTCATTGCATGATTCGTGTCTGGATGCTTGGGCTGCCTTGCCTGGGGCAGTTGCACCCCCTCGAAATGCAACCAGGCGTGGCGAGTTGTCATGCACATGCACATGTCCTGGGGCTTAACATCCAGTACTCTACCATAAGGTCAATAGGTTTCTATCACCAACCATTTCCTGGTTTCAACTACAGACGCACCGCCCAAGACGATCCCAAAGAGACCCAAACAGATGCGATACCACCAACAGATCCACAGCGAACCAAGCAACCTGGCCTTTGTAGTGGGCAAGCATCACGTGACAGCAGTCATCGCCCAAAGCAGACCTCTGAGACTGCTTGCTGAAGCGCTGACTTCCCGGCATGTGAGACTCCAGACTAAGATGGCATCTGAAACCCTCTTCAAAATATACTACTTGGGGTCTATACTAGAGCTGGGGTCAGAAAGTTCAGGACTAGCGAATAGGATGAATAGGATGGGCAAGGACTTGGCGCATCCCGAGACCAAGAAGGGCTGCTGCCAGGATGCCGGATGTAGTGCACGTTCTTCTTCACCTGTGCAGGGCAGGCATCGCGAGGGATCGCTCCAAAGTCCATAAAGCCCTGCTAGGGGCTTTGTGCGGAGGTCTGGCAATGTCGGGGATCCGTGGTCTAACCTTGGAGCTAGACATGCCAAGCTCACCACTCAGCTAGGAGCTCGGAAGTCGCCCTGAAGGGTCTGAAAGCCGCCAATCTTGTCTGCAGCTTCGTCTGAAGTACTGCTACAAGTCCGGTTTCGCTCTTCATACTGAAGATGCACGCTGGCACGCTGATGGCAATCTTACGGGCAAATCACGAGTCTTTGTCTTTGTCAGGAAGGTAACCTGGAGAGTTGTCGCGATACAATTGGAAGCAAAGGCCAGATGGTGAGCTCTCTAAATTATGGTCCCTTTTTGGGTACCCTAAATAAGAGGGGCCGCCTTGTAAGAAGGACTCCAAAAGGGGCCATATTCTAGAGAAGTGACCAGATGTTTTTCATCGCTAACTACACCTCTGTTCTGTGCCTGCGCCACGGTCCGCTTGGAGTTGTCCACGGGCCAGAAGAGCAGGATCCGGCTTCGATTTGCGCCCGGCACGCGTGGCGCTGGCTCCGTGCTGGAAACGTTGGCGCTCGCATTGGCCTGCGCCAGAGAAGCTCCAAGTCCAGGAGTGCGATGACAACTCCGCACTATGTCCGTGGCCTTGCTGACATGGCCACTCATGTTTGCCCAGCCTTCGCGTCACCTGGACCAACTGGACTTGTGAACGCCTCAGTGCTGAGCAAGTTGAAGAGTTCGTTGGCTAACCAAGCTTCTTGAATTTTCAAGCTCCTAAATGTGTTGCTGAACATACGTGCCGGATCAGGGTCCTCACCGTACTTCAACCCAGCACAAGACCCACAACGTAATCAAACAGCTGGCTTTATGCATGATAACCATATTTGTATATATAGATAGATATATAACCATGACAATCAACCTGTTCATGTCTGACCTGATGATTTCAGCCTGTTGTCGCCTTTGGAGGACCGAGCACTGCGGAAATTGCGGCGTTGCATGCTCGCCAAGAATCCACGAAGAGAAGTGCTGCCCAGAGTGGAATCTTCAGCATCCTCGGAAACAGGTGGGGAAGGCGGAGGCCGGCTGAGCGTTCTCTTTGTTTATGTGAGAACCATTCTGCATGATCTGTCGATCGCCCATAGAGCCCTCAAACTCTGTCTACCCCATGGTCTCAAGTCTCTGGATGTCCTCCTCAATCAAGTCTTACAATCAACCGCTCACACTCCCAAAAGCCACGGGGACACTGTTCATGTTCAGGCTACACACACACCACACAGCACAACAGAAAGATGCCCTCCTCAACCCCATGCGTCCAAGGAGCAGTGCAGAGTGTTCATCAAACACTTGGGAACAGCCACTTAAGATTATGAACAGCCTGCTAGAAAAACGATGAGCCTCACGGCTGTCGGCATTCGTAATTCGCACACAAGGGTTCAGGGTTTAGGGTCTAGTGCCAGGATGTTGAGGCGGCTTTCATCTTCTTCGCCTCTTGAGAAGAGGGGCCACCATTGAAATCGCAGCAAGGCCAGACGCGACTTGGAAGGTCAAGGATGTAAACAGTGCTTGTGGCTCCGTCAATGAAAAAGGTCATGAAGCCCAGGAGCACGGTTAACAGAATTTCCATTAACTTCCAACTCCGAAGACCTACACGGGTGGGCTGGATTTTTTCAATATGGGGGGGGGTACCCTAAGTAGACCCAATGCGTAAGATTCCCCAATAAGAAGAACCCCAATAAGGGTACGCCTATTTGCGGAAACCCCCCATACGCAAACCCTAAACCCTAAACCCTAAACCTTAAACCCTAAACCCCAAACCCTAAGCCCACAAAGCTGGATGAAAATGTCTGCGAAAACCCGCGGCCTCGTTCAGTCGAGAAGGCTCTGACGCCGGCGTCCACGGCGGCTCCGGGGTTTCTGGTCGGCGCTTGCTGTTCTCACATTTGAGGGTTTAGGGTTTAGGGTTTAGGGTGTAGGGTTTAGGGTTTGGGGTTCAATGGCTCAAGTCATGACAAAACTCAGATCCAGAAACATGCGAACCAAAACTCCCGGAAGGCAATCGCACGGCCACGCGTCGTGTGCAGTCTGCATGCACTCAGCCCTAAGCTTGAGTTGGTCTTTCGAAGTGGTCTTTGAGAACAGTACTTCCATACAAGCAGGAATCCCTTCCCCCCTCATATTCAAGCGGCCCCCTACCCCCTCATATTGAATACTCCCATTTTTCTTGGGGGGTATTCAATCTAAGGGGGGGGATGACTCCCATGGTACACCCATCGAGTCCTGGATCTGCGGTGGAGGTCTCCACCTGTCCAAAGCTGGGGGGCGGATACCCTGCTGATCCCATTTTGAGGCCCTGCCCGTGGCCTCCAGCTGCATCGTCACCGGCTCTTTGACACCTAAGGCTTTGAAAGGTGGGGTCTCCCTCTGGTGTCTCAACGACATAAGCATGATTTCGATCTTTTGTTGGATCGTGGCTACGCGACACTCAAGGACCAAGGCTCAGATGGCATGTTGGTCATGCGCTTTCAACTGCCCATGCCCTTGGCTTTGGGGTGTTTTGGGCGAGCTGTGCATGGCGCGCCGCCTGGACGAGCCTGGACCCAACGACACGTTTGATGCTGACAGCACTTTATACCACTTTCGAAGTATAGGACCTTCGGACCTGCCCCCATAGAAGCAAGGTGTACCAAAAGGCCCGTGCCCGCGCTGATCCGTGGAGCCGGCAAGCGTGCACTTGGGACCTGGATCAACTTGGTTATCCACTTTTAGGAAAGGGTCGGACTAGATGCGCGACCCAAGTTCTGAGCGACAGGCACTCGCAGGAGGAGCTTGCCAAGCGGGGCCGTCGTAGCCCTGACCTTGGGCAAGGAAGCAGCGCATCTTTGGGACGTAGGTCGGTGTAGACTGCAGAAGCCCACTCCGCAGCCAATCCCTAGGATAAGCAGGCCAACCATTCGGCAGGCACAGGCACGCATGGCCGAACGAGAGCCTATCCAACCTTCGGCTCACTAGGCTGAGGTCGCTCCTGTGTTCCAGGCGCAGTGGCCCCATGTCCCCCACGGCGCTGGCTGCCAGCAGCCTCAGCATGGGCACTGCTCCGGCAACTCGGTTTAGGGTTTAGGGTTTAGGGTTTAGGGTTTAGGGTTTAGGGTTTAGGGTTTAGGGTTTAGGGTTTAGGGTTTAGGGTTTAGGGTTTAGGGTTTAGGGTTTAGGGTTTAGGGTTTAGGGCTTATGGTACATCTCTGCCGTCCGAGGTGCCGTGCTTTGGCCAGGTGGGCAAAGCAGACCAGCCTGGAGATTAGTAGGGCTTCTCGAGCCAAGTAAAAAGCCCAAGATTCTTGGCCCCATCGAAGGTTTGGAAGGATCGCACGAACAATCCCAAGCCGCGAGCTCCGTGCCAAGCCTTTCAACCCGGCCTCATTTGGCAAAAAAACGGCTTTAAGTAGCATGGGGGGGAGCCTCTCAAGTCGTTTGGAGAAGCTGCAGTCTGCTGAGCCCCCTGCTTGCTACACAGGCTGGATCATAGGCCCCAAAGGGCCCAAAGGGGACTTCGTCCAAGCTGTCGGTGGAGGCTTCCGTGGGCCATGGGCTTTGCCTCGCTCGCGGATCTTGGGGAGTCGACTTCAACCCACGCACCACGCTCGGGGGGGGAGGGGGGGGGGCCCGGTACTGTGTAATATTCTTGTCAGCTGCCATTTACGAATGCATCCTGGGTCCATTGGGCATCTCCCATGATGTATCTGTACCCTGGGTGCTTGTCAACGTTTGCAGGAGTCTGCACACATTGCGTTGGGGTTAAGGGGGGTAGGAGAAGCTTATGCCGACACGTATGAAGCATTGCAAGCACCGTGTCCTGGCCCGAAGATTTTTCAACCGCGGGCATGCTAAGCCCTGCACATGGCCGACCATGGCCGGGGAGAGCTGAAAACTGACAATCGTATGTGCTTCTTGTTTCGAACTAAGCTCCTCACATACATTCTGTGGGTGAGTGCGCGAAAACTAAGCTCCTCACATGCATTCTGTCGATGCATGCATGGCAATCACCATGCTAGCTGATGCTGGCTGGTAACACATGTCGAAACTTCATGATCGGCCCTTGGTGGCCGAACCAGAGAGCTCAAGGCTTCGCGATGGTAGGTCGCAAGCAAGACAGAAGAAACCAAGGTAGCAACAGTAAGCATGCGCCAGCAGCAGTGGCGTGGATTCTCGTGTCACTCCTGCCACGCACATACCTTTTTCCTTTCTGCAGATGAAAACGAAAAAGGCGGGGCAGTCAGGGCGGGAGCAGGTCCAGCTGCCATAGCCTTCAGCCGAGCATATGGGGACCCCCATGACCCCAAATAGTAAGATCCCCTTGTAATAAGGACCCCAACAAGGCATCCCTATTATCGTAAACCCCCACATGAACCCGGCAACACAAAAGCACCGGGACGTTGCTGGCACCTCTGAGGCCCGGACCCAACATCGGACAAGACCTTCTCTCTGAGCTTTCTTCTATGCTCTCTTTGCACAAGAGCATCCGAGTCTCAGGGTCTGCCCACTACCCCCAGCGCTACCAGTGCCCACTTGGACACAACTCAGCTCGCCACGACGTCACCTGCTAGCGGCTTGCGAGGACCGCCTGTGATGCAAAGCTCAAAGTCCTCCAGTCATTGGCTCGTGTCTTTCTCTCAAACTTGAGAGAGTACGCGAGGGCTGAGGACTTACGTCGACCAAACGGTCTTGTATGGCAGGGGCGGTGCTACAGCTTGCCATACCTTTACCCTTTGCTCATAGAGCCCTCATCACGTCTGCAACGTAGCCACTGCACTTGAGGGAAAGCCGCTGTGAGCTTGTGCGCATCTTCACTTAAGAACACAACTTTGCAGTCCTTACGAGGGATTTTTGTACCCCCTATGATAATCCCTATAAAGGACTGTTAGTATAAAGGGGGAACATCCCGAAACATAACACAAGAGCAGCGGACAGCTTCTCTCGCGACCCGAAAACATCGCTCCTCCGGCCGGGAAGCCGCGGTTGGATCGGCTGAAGCCATGGCTGCCTTCAGCTCAGAGATGGTGGTGCCCTGGCCACAAACAATGGGGGGGGGAGGGGGGGAAGTGTGAAAGCCATTGCCTGACAAATGGATTCAGAACCCCCAGCTCAGCGAAACAAATGCCATCTTGCCGGCTTGTACGTGAGTGATCACCCAGGAGGGCGAAAAGCATTGCAGATCCAATGACACAGTGTTGTGTGGAAGAACATGGACTACCTTGAGAACAACTGTCCACCCACCTCCTTCACTGGCATCAGGTGACTCAAATCCAGGACGTGGTCGATGTGGATCCGCACCTGTATATGGGAGTTTACGAAAATAAGGGACCGCAATATAGACCCCGAGATACAAGGATCCCCTTATCGTAAAGACCCCAATAAGGTACCCCTAGTGTCGGAAACCCCGCATTCCATGCCAACAAAAGAAGCCTACGACTTGCAGCATTGTAAACATGGGGATTCCAGGACACCACCAGGGCTGGAGGAAAGGAGCCCTAGTGATGAACTGCAACGCTGCTACAAGACTGCTACACACACTGCAAGGCCGGCCGCCCTCGGAACTTCGAAAAACGCATCCAAAAAAAGACATAAGCGCACACAGCGCCCAACACGGGAGTCCGCGCCTCTGCCTGGCCCTTCCATTTCTCTGCCACAGCCTGCCCGTGTTGGACCATTAGCACTGGGCAATCAGCTTTCGAATATTGAGGCCTCGAGCCCTAACAAGCCCAAATAAAGCCCTACAAACCCTAGAAACTCAAACCATGAACCCTACAAAGCCCTACAAACCCTCTGCCAAACCCTCTAGGAAGCCCTAGAACCCCCCCCCCTCAAAGGCCCCTCTTGAAGCCTCAGGGTGCAGCAGGGCGGGCTTCGAAGACATCGAAGCCGGTGGCCGGAAACTGGTCAAGGCGGAAGCTTGGCTGACTAAAAAATGCCCAGAAGTGGGGGGGGGGGGGGGGTCTAGGGCCGCTTAGATCGCTTAGGGTTCAGGATCTAGGGCTTAGGGGGTTCCTACATGATGAAGATTATCCTCTTGGGGTGGGTTGGGGGGGGGGGGGGGGTGGAAAACACAAACGCCCTATCGTTGGGCCAAACGAGACCCTTTGCACGCAAACGAACCTGCGGCATCCCGTGAGCTTGCTGGGTGCAATCCGTGCCAGGGGTGCGCGAAGTCAAACCGCGCGGCCTGTGGCCCAAGCTTCAGGGCTCACGGTTTAGGGTTTAGGGTTTAGGGTTTAGGGGTTAGGGGTTTAGGGTTTAGGGGTTTAGCGATTCAGGGGTTTAGGGGTTGGGGTGTAGCGACTTGCCGTCTGTCAAGGGTTATGTAGCACATAGATATTTTCAGAGGCACGATGGTGCCCGTACAGATCTGACTTAATTAAGGTTCTTGGCTTGAGACCTAAACATCCTGCGGTTCCGTCCGCAATGAGGCCCAAACCCTACTTCTGAGGGCGGCACAAAAGCACAATCATGCACCCCCTAAAGACTAAAGCGCCTGAGGGACGCCTTGCCCTGAACCCTTAAACCCTTAAACCCTTAAACCCTTCTTAAACCTTTAAACCCTTAAACCCTTAAACCCTTAAACCCTTAAACCCTTAAACCCTTAAACCCTTAAACCCTAAACCCGAAAACCCCAACCTTAAACCGCAGGATGCTCCCGGATCCCGAAGATTGCGTGGCCTTGTTGAGTACCTCACTGGCATCTACGGGTCGGCCAAACCTGAGACGAAGGTGCCAGGGTTTAGGGTTTGGGATTTAAGGATTAGGGGTTTAGGGCTTGGGGGTTTGGGGTTTGGGGCTCAGGGTTTGGGGCTTGGGGTCTAGGGTTCTGATGCAAACGACTTCTCGCGTTGTCAAGAAGCGACCTTCCAGCTATGTTCCGCACTGGTACAGCTGGATCCAGTCGGCCTCGCCATGGGCCAGGAGGAAATGAAGAGAGCTAGAGGCAGCCAAAAAAAAACAGACGGAGACACAGGGAGTGAGATGTGGAAGAAGGGAAAAAAAGAGATACGAGAAGAACAACGACAAACAATGTGGAAGAGGGAGAGAGGGGAAGAGAGAGCGAGAGAGAAAGAGATGGAAGAATAAGGAAAAATGTCAATGCTTTAAGCCCAAAACCGCCGTAGACTCTCATTTGAGAACGACCAAGAAATGCAACGTGTCCAGCAACTCCAGAAAACCATGAGATCAGGATCTGTCATTCCATGAGCCTGCAAGCATCCTGCAACTACAACTCTTGAAAAACTCCCGATTCGGTGCGTTGCGCATGTTTGCCCACGGGCCTCCTCCCCCGCCATCTGGCTTTTCAGCTCCTTCACGGAGGACCCTGCCTGCACCTGGCAAAGCCGATGAATGCCACCGCCCTCCACACAAAAATGGAGTCGTCTTTTTCTTGAGCACCTCGAAGATTCGGCTCCACTTCTCACCTTAGCTAAAAGGCCGAAATCTCTGGTGAACTCCGGTGACTGTGAGTGGAGAACTCTTCATACTCATGTCCTTTCCATTCCTGACAAGTGGCCTTGCAGCATGAAGCGCACCTCCACCGGCACCATGCCTGTGGCCCGTGCCTTACAGGATATGAAGTAGGGTATATATTTCTTGTACCCCCAAAAGGACACCAAATATCTACACTCACCAACATTCAAAAGGAACCTCATATACACTCACCAAAAACAATCATATAAACCCTGCTTCAAATATGAAGCCATTGGCATGCTTAGACGACTTCTCTCCGATGTTTTCCAAGTCGGCTCCGGTAGGTGCCAGGCTGCCTCAGGCTGAGGCTGCCGAGCTGCATCGGCCTCTTCAATGGCTTTGGAGACGAGGTGCCCGGGTCTTTGGGGGGGGCGACTCTTTAAGGGCGCATCTGTGCGCCGAGTCAGATCTTTCTATGAGCTGCTCCTCGATTTCGTCGAAGTCAAACATTCCACCAGAATCATCGCCCTGCACGCGAACGCTACGGAGATCAATTATACCCGCACCTGGTGTGCTCCGCAGATGCATCGAATGGCATCACCTTTTCCCATTGAAGTCTAGGTGCCTTTGCATCTTCAGGGTCTTTTCGAACTGGGACGTCTTCACCTGGGCGATGCAACTTGCCCCAACAAAGAAACAAGGGGAGAAGGTGGGAGAACGACGACGACCACGATGTGGTGGGAGCTGCAGCACTTTCGCAACTGCAACGAAGAAGTGCCCACCAAGACCGTAGCACAAAACACGACGACGACCCTGACCACGACCACTAGTATCTGCCAACTCCTACAGCGACTGTTTTTCTAGCCAACGTTCGCCCTCGAAGACTCGGCTAGCTGTGTTGCTCCAGATCTGTCAAGCATCCAGGTGGCCCGAAATTGATAAAATGAAGAAGGAAGAGGCATGCACTTGTACACGGATATAATACTATTCATCTTTCCATGGCATCTTATTTTCAACAAACTGTTTTTACTTGCGTTTATCCCGGGCTAATTTAGTAATCTTATTGTCGCCCGTGGGAATTATAGTAATAATATTCTAGCTAATGCAGTACATTATATATCTTATAGCGCCCTTTTGTTTCTTTCATGTCATTCGGGCGCTTATAAATGAATAAAATGTGGGCTCTTAATATAATCTGATGAGGATACAATGCAGCGCGCCTGTAATCCTCAAAATAACAACAATATAATAAAGGCTCCAGCAGATAACTTCTGGTGTTTGCATGTCTTCTGCAGACGGCAGCCATTCCGAAATCTAGACCCCATGAGCCCCCCTGATGCCTGGCACATTTACGTGCACAACTGCTCTGGATTGCACTTCTACTGTCACACCTAGGCCGAAGCTGGCCACATCAAAATCCCTGGGACGGCTCAGCTCCCTCACACTCGCGCAATCCAGGGCAGCTTGCAATCCGATGGTGAGACCACGGCCTTTGACAGGCGGTTAGCGTTAACTTGTAGCGTGCATTGTGCAGAGCACGGGCTTCTGAACCTGTCAGAGCAAAGCCGGCTTTAGGCAATTGCTCATATAGACGGGAAGGCTGCCTGAAGCACTCGTCAGGGGGCAGCTTCGCCAGTTGCTTCACCCTGCACACGCTCATGAAACAGCTGCTCCATCCTCGGCGTGATACCAAAATGCCCCCTCTCTGGCAGGTCTACCCATCTGAGCAGGCTTCTGCAAAACAGCTGCAAACGGTTCTGTCCGAGAGAGCAGGCTTTGCATCTCAAGCTGCAGTTCCAGCAAAATTGCTTCTGGCAGCCAAGCAGCTTCTTTTGAAGACGCTGAATCCTCTCATCCACGCTGGGCCTCAGTGGGCTTCGGCTTCTAAAACAACCTGAATACCCCTCACTGCACACTTCAGCTCTCTTGGGGTCGAACGCCCACGAAGCCGCCGAAACGCTTACCGTGGGCCCTCTGAAGTCAGCGGAAACCACCCTAGAAAAAAAACTAAAAGGAGGGCCTTTCTGAGTAAAGTAACGTAGAAGGGTCACCGGTCCCCGGGGCTCCAGAACGCCCGTTGAAATCTGCACTTGGTTCATCCCAGTAACGCACTTTGGCCTGCTTCCTCGCGTGGAAAGCCATTCCTCGGGCAGCCGCGAGCGGCGCAGAGACATGAAAGCGCAAAAGCCCCCCAAAACCTCCAAGAGCAACCCAGGAACTGACACAAAGCAATGGCATACCCGCATACTGCTGTGTATCCGAAACTTCCCTAGAGATCCCTTCTAAGTTCTTCTCCGGCCAGGGAGCTCCCCATTGGACGGCCGCGCACTCGAAGTTCCGAGAGCTGACAGCAAGGACTCGATCTTCCTGTTGGCCACTGCCCCCAGTTGAGGCTTCCGGGGCCAAACTACGCGGCACAGACATCGGGAAGGTGCCGCACTGGGGCTAATTGTCCCTTTTGAAGATAGTGGCGGATACCACATCTCGGCCTGTCCAACACGTCATAGCGCCGCGACTTCCGTTGTGGCGAGGCTGCGTTCTCCGAGGCTGCAGGTGCGGGGCCTCTTTGGGGTTCAGTGGATTCAGGGTTCCATGGCTTCTGCGGGGTACTGGCCAAGACGGGTCAGAGCCAGAGCATCCAGAGCTCAAAGGAAACCGAGGTGCCGGACACCGATTGCTTTGGCAAGCATGGCGCGGCACCTAAAAAAAGCTCTCGGAGAGCACTCTGACTCTGTGCGGTTGCAGTGCTCTGCAGTCTTGCAGAGGGAAGAAGCGGGGGATGCTTTATTGGACCAGGTGCTCCCTCTACGAGCCCCAGACCAGCACAGAGGGCCTTGGGACGCTTCTAACCAAGAATGTTGGCTAGCCGGGTCAAGTGCGATCACCCCCTCATTGGGTTTTGGGTCCCCAGCACTAGTCTTGCGAGTGGGCAGTGCTTCAATGCAATGGCTGCGTGCGCTTCTGCCATGTCAGAGCCAGCTGCATTAGATTACTCGTAACTACTCTCCGTCATGCTCTTCCTAGAATTCTCAGCGGAGGCCTGGCGCGGACTTCACTGACCCAGCAGCATGGTGAGGTGAATGTGGTGAGGTTCCAGAGCTTTGAGGACTTCCCCAGACCGTCCTGCAAGGAAAGGGGCAAATGGGGCGAGGACGGACCATTAAGGGTGAGTGTGGGGGTCATTGCATGTCATTGTTTCCTGGGGCAAGGTCCTGGGCGTAGGTGCAGCAGGCCCTTGCGGCATTGGTAGCAAGAGGCCTTCCGCCTCCGCCTCTGCAGCGGCACGCGCATTCTGCGGTGCCCTGAGACAGCCGCTTGCAAGATGGGGGGCGGGTTGAGCAGCTTGTTCTTGGCTATGGTCTTGGCTTTGGCCGTGGCTCCGGCCTTTGCCAGGCGTTGCCACACCAGGGGCGCCATTGACACTCTTCGCAACACCCTTCACAGAGCCGGAGCCGGCAGTGCGGAGCGGCTCAGGCTGTGATGGTCGTGAGGCCGGAGAAGGCGAAGGCGGTGACATCGGTGACGCTTGCATCAAGTGTTCGAGGCCGAGGCCGCCCAGGAGCTCATCGAGTTCTTCGTGCAACTCTTTGAGTTCGGAGTCTCGCTCAGCAAACATTCCACTCAAGTTTTGGAACTGCTGGAAGGGTGCCTTCGCCGGGCCCAGGTCGGCCACGGGCGCGGGCGCCAAGGGCGCCAAGGGCGCCAGCCACGGCTTCTTCTCTCGCGGCGTCGGCAGGCTTGGCAGCGCGGGAGGGGAGATGAAGTCCGCCTTAGAGAACCCAGAGGCAGGGTCTTCATCTGTTCTGTGTCGGGGTCCCATACGTAATCTCGAACTATCAACCCCTTGCACTCAGCGTAAACCCCAATCCACCATTAGGCAACATCGGTAATGTCCCGGCAGAAGCAGAGATCTGGCAGCGAGCTCTTTACGCTACGTCCTCCGGAACCGAGGCAAAACAGCCCTTGGGAGAATGACATGTGGGAGCCAGGCCTTCCACCAAAATCCCAAACCTTATCACCTCAAAGGCAGCCCTAAAGCCAGCCGTTGGACTCCCACAGGTGCCCTAAACAGCCCTTCAAGAAGAAGAGACGTGCGGGCCTTTTACTACATCCCAACTTCAGCCCCTGAATCAACGGTAGGGGTGGGAGGGATATTGAAGGGAAGTGGACAGTGTGGAAAGCACCGTCTTGAACAAGCACACACAAAAGCAGATGAAGCATACGCTTGAGCATTCTGCCCAGTGCCGTTCTTGACACAAGTTCTTACCTGCCTGCAGCCTGCTCACATCCTCGGCCACGGCCGCTCGCAGCAGCGCGCCACGAGCCTTAGGCACCTCCGGCACTGGTGGCGCTGCGTCCTTCGCCTGGCCGCTGGCCAGGACTGTCTCGCCAGGGCCCTTTTCCAGATCCGACACCAGAGGTTCACCCAGCGGCCCCCCAGCAGACGGCCACAGCCTTTCATCGAGCACCGGGGCATGGGCGTTAAAGTTAAAGGAGCAACCCTGAATCAAATAAAGACTCATAGACTCCATAGGCTCACCAGCGCCAACCAAACCAAACCAAACCAAACCAAACCACACAGGAGCAAAGCAAAGCAAAGTAAAGCAAAGCAAACCAAACCAAACCAAACTAACCAACTGACGCACGGCAAGAGAGGAGGCACGAACGGACACCAAACCCCAAACCCCAAACCCCAAGCCCACGAGGCGCCTCAGGAAGCCTCGGCAGGTTGCGGCCAGCGCGCCCAGCAGGCTCCCAGCAGCGCTTGCCAGGGCCCAGAGCACCAAGGCCGCAGCCTGCTCCGATATCCCGAACTAAGCCTTGCTCGTTCGTGAAAAGACTATATAAGTGTAGGATATATAGAAACATAGATATATAGATATAGATATATATATATATAGATATATAGATATATAGATATATGTGTACATATATATATATGTATAGATATATACAGACTAGCATAGAGTAGAGTAGAGTAGAATAGAACAGAATAGATCAGAATAGAATAGAGTAGAATAGAATAGAATAGAAAGGAGCATAATATGATATGGTATAACATATGTTCTTGCAGCCCTTCGCAGTCCCGAGCCTGCCAGGGTGGCAAGCCACCCTTTTGGATGAAGGCATCCGTGAGCCAGAGTTGCACGGCCAGGGCAAGGCAAGGCGCGAACCTGGGAGCAGCTCGAGCAGTTTGAGGCAGCGAGTCGGGATAGAACGAAGCCTATGATCCCCCTGCTGTGTGGGATGGATAGGTTGAGGGTTTAGGGCTTAGGGCTTAGGGGTTATAGGGCTTAGGGTTTGGGGCCAAGAGACAGTTCTGTCAAGTCTTCCAGGCTGGAGCTCCACGATGTCACTTCTAACCTGGGCAAATCTGAGCAGGATGGCCTGGACTCTGGGGACTTGCGGGGACTTTGATAGCCCCAAAGTATCCCAAAAGATACCCACGATCCTTAAAGATCGCTAGAGGTCCCTAAATGATCCCTAAAAGAAGCCAACCCCCAGCCCCGAAAGCCCACCCCCGGCTTAGCAGAGCGACAGCAAGGCCACAGGGCCCCGGAAGAGGCTGGGGACCGAAAGCGCCCACAGCGCCGCTTCGGAGGAGGCCACGCAGAGCAGCCAGACCAGAAGCTGCCGCAGGTACCTGCCTCCGAAGAATGTCCCCCCCAGTCTCTTTCTAGCCCGTCATATTCTGTTGAGGGAAGGAGGAGGAGGAGGAGGGAGTAGCAGAAGAGAATCAGGAACATCACTTTATTTGCAGCGCCCAACCATTAGCCACAAAAACCGGTGTAACTCGAATCAGGTCTATCTTTTGGCAAGGAGCTCATGAAAAGACCCTAGGGCCACTAAGGCAGTCAGCGTAAAGTAGCGCCTGGTACAATGGAGGCCTCCTCGTTCCGGTATTCCCCAGTTCGGAAGTCCTTGCAGTACATGTTGCGACTACGCCTACGCCAAGCTCGCAAAGCCATGCGCATGGGCTTCACTGCGACCCTTCGTGAGGCTGAACTCAAAGCTCAACCGGACAACTGATGACGTCTAACATCACACAAGAACCGCAGCACACGAACTGAGGCGAGGCTCTGCACTGCCAGTAGAGAGCTCCATGACTCTGCTGAGGCTCTGGAGCAACCTCAAAGCTGGATCATGTTTCTCGGGAAATGGGACCCCCAGATTTCCGCATCGCTTACGCGCGTTACAACGCAAGGATCCACGCAGGGTCGTTTGCAATTCAGGTCGAGTCATGTCTCTTATGAAAGCCTTGCTTTTGTCATAAGTTTAACGCTCTTTCGCACTGTCTTGCTCACTCGTTCGCTCACTCACGCTCCCGCTAACGCAAGCGAGGTGCAAATACTGGAAGACAACTCCGCATGTGGCCTTTTCAAGCACGACATTGCCGAACTTATGCACCACTCGACATACATCCAGGACGCTTCATGCAAAAAGCGTCAATACGAAAGATGGGCAACCCTGACTGGCGGCTTCTAGCGACCTGCATGCACTGTAGACTGCAGGAAAGTTCCTAAACCCTAACCCCTAAACTCTAAACCCTAAACCCTAAACCACAAACGTACACTCCATAGCTGGCCTCTGCAACAGGCCCAGACAGCCTCAGGGCCTCGTCACTGGGCCTCCAAAGGACATCCGAGAATTCAGATCAAGAGGCCTGAGGCCTTGCACACAGGAACTGGTGGGTAGGTCCAAGTGTGCTTGAAGGCCTCGAACCCTACGACTCGAGCCTCGAGAAGTGGAGGGCCCAGAGCAGGACGAAACCAAACCTGAGGCCATTGGGCTGCGGATCTTCAGCGCCGACCCAGGATGCAATGCTAAACCCTAAACCCTAAACCATGAGCCCCAAACCCGGATTGCGTTCTCCACTGGCAATGCCCGTCACGCACGCTTGCCGCTTGGCTTGGCTTGCCGAACGTCTCGATAAGCGTGCCCACACATGAGCCGAAGGCATGCGCCCAAGATCAAAACGTATGTCATAAGGATGCCTGATGTTGCTTGATGCTGCAATCGAAAGCTTATTGTGCTTCCGCTTAACAAGCAGTGGATTGCTTTCTGATATGTTCGGCTTTACATGGTATTTTCAGCTTGACAAAGCATCTGGTGTCTGTGAGTGCAACGTTTTTACTGTAGACATGTCAAGGAACAACTGCTTGGAGGCATCGAGGACGAATTCCAGCCAATCGCGTGTCGCGGACTTGCCCTGTACAGGGCCCGAGCCATTTTGGGAACCTCTAGGTTCGTAGAGGTTCTGAGTTGTGCATGCCAGCAAGGATGCAATCACTGGCAGCTTGAGAAGATGTACAGCAAACGACCACAGCACCGTGGCACCGAGCCTGCCGAAGCAGCAGAGCCCCAAGTCCAAATGCCGGCGGCAGGCAAGATATCATTTGGGACACTGCAGGTGTTGGGGCTCAGATCTAGTGCTAACGGCAGCTACAGCATGCTAAAGCTTTATTTGGGTCGGAGCATGGCTACCAGAATGTCTGGTTTCAATGGGCACGTGCCCTGGCTGTCAGTCCCTGACTCAATATCATTACTCATGTGCTTGCACAGCTGGGTTTGCTGCATCGTGGTGTGCTTGGAGCCATATGCCAATAGCAATCTCGGAGCAATCTCACATCACCAAGAATGTCGACCCCGCAGAAATGCTGCCAGGCACCGGATTGCCCTAGACCCATGATTGCTTCGGGCTACCAGTTTGCTTCTGGACTGCTTCCCTGCTTCTGATCCCCTCTCAAGAAATCCGACCCGCAGCGTTTACAAGTTTACAATGAACACCCCTCATGTGCCTTTGAAAGTCAGAACACCATCAAGTCTGCAGCGTGGCAGGGCTGGGATTCGCACTTCCTGCCTGCAAGGCTGCAAAACCAGGCAAGCTTCTGTGCTGCTTGACAAAGCCATTTCGAGATTCTCAAAACGATGAAAATCGCCACAAAACCCCCACTGTACATCGACGAAACTCTGAACCCAGATTGTTTTCGGCTGGAACTACCAATTCCTGTCACGTCAACCTTAAACAAAGCTAGGCCTCCCAACAGAAATCATCATCTCCCCTTCAAACACTTACGACTGCTTAAGCGGCCTCTACCCAGATGTGTAGAGATGTACAAGGATCTTCCGAACACCAGATGTGGGGAGCTGATCTTCAAGTACCCCATGGCACAGGCACACCCTCCCCCCTCCTATACTCCCCTTAGAACCTGATTAAAATAATATTTCTAATATCCTCCTGGGGCTTATACAAACCAAAAAAATAATTCCCGAGGGCGATTAGCCTTCAAAACCCCTCCGAGCAGTCTGGCCTTCGCCTTCGGGGAGCTCTCCGCTTCGGCTCCCTGAAGCTGAAATTTTCGCTACTGCGGGTTTTGGGTTTTAGGGTTTAGGGTTTAGGGTTTAGGGTTTAGGGTTTAGGGGTCATTCAAAGGATACGAAACGCGCGCCTCCTTCCACTCACCCTCCTTCTCGACCGTCTCCTGCAACGCTCACATCAAACAAGCCATGGAACCACAGCCGCATTGCGCTGCAGGCCGACAGGTCCCTAAGAAGACCAGCTCAGTTGCCTCGATCTCATCAAAGTCGAACATTGCGTTCCGCACCCGGAGCACCAGGTCAGTTGTCTAATTTTGTTGTTACGGAAGGTGGATGTCGGGCAACTTTGGAGGGTGCAGACCATCTGCCAGGAATCCAGCCCTAACTTTCCTGTCGAGAATGCTGTCTTGCGGTCTTGCTTCTGGAGAAGGCACAAGCACCATGAAGTGCCCTGAGCGACAGGCATGCGCCGCTGGGCAAAAAAGCTGCGCTGAGATTTGCGAGTTGTCACAATAGATTGGGGGCATAATCGACACCTGCGGCGAAAACTACAAATGATTTGTTCCACGTTTGAGAATTTTCACGCAAGACCTGAGACCTGTGCATCATGAAAGCTCGTCTGACATTCCAAGACCTGCAGCTCAAAAAGAGTCTTGATCACGGCATCAATAGTGCTACAGGGATCGTCGTGCAATGCATTCTTGCCGACATGGTTGTTTCACTTTTTCGCAAGAAGAGCTGGTGTTCACAGTGCTCCACAGCTGGACAAGATCGAAAGGAGCCAAGCGAGCGACATGTTATGAACATGCGGATTTCTTTGCCTGAACAGAAGCACGCAAGTCTGTTGACGAGTGCATATGGACAGTTGGTACCAGCAGCTCGCAGGCGGCATTCACATGGGGGAGGGTGGTTTCTGACAGCTCTTTGTGCCTGCATGCGATGCAAGTCACGTGCGAGACGGCATGCTAGGGTCGAGGGTTCGTTCTGAACACGAACAAAAAATTTTCAAACCATGTGCGAGCGTTAGAAACAAAGACACACCTTCAGGAGCAGTCATAGCTAACCTGTGCGACACTGCGCAGCATGCGGTGAGGGCAGGCAAACTTGTCCGGGGTTGCTCAAAGTCTCAAAGACTGCGATTGCAATGCTGTAACCCCAACTTCGGCTCTACAAACGAGCCCTGAACTTGCCCATCTTGTAGCACAGAAAGGCTGTATGGTATGGAGGAGGGGGCTCAAAGACGTCCATCTTGGGTCCATTTGGATCTACTTGCCTTGCCGGTCCCTATGCCTACAAGTGGGCCTCGAGTCTCGAAGTGAGCGGCACGGGAAGCCTGGCTTGAAAGCTCGCGGCAAGCCAATGGTCGCATTTTCTCGCAAGCTCGCAAGAGCCGCATGCGGGCACCGCAAGGAGCACAGGGGCACTAAACACAAGCGATGAACATCCGGTTCTCCGCGGCTGTGAGACCCCCCCTGGCCCATCTTGCCCTCGGGCTGCAAGCTTAGACATCCTAACCCGCAAGCCCTTAGGGCTTTGAACCTTACAACTTACAACCGAAATCCTAAACCGGCCTAAACCAAGCCCGTGTCCTTCAGGGGCGCCATCAAATCGTGCCGGTCACACTGCAATTTCAGCGCCCAAGCTGCCTTGCACAATCCGAAGTCTGGGTCCTTCCAAAGGCATTGAAGGCACGTGGCCTGCCACAGCCCACTTCTTGATGCCTCCGGAGTGGTGCAACCTTGCCATTGGCGGTGATCCCAGAAGTATCCCCCTGGAGCGTGCCGAGGTGGAGTTCCGGCATAAGGCGTCGTGTGCATTCTTGCTGAGAACAATGCCCTAGGTGCCGCCGGAGCTTGAACCAATGATGGCGTCTGGAGAATGGCCGAAGTCTAACAGATCTTCTCTGTCCAGACCCCAGCCTGCCAAGCGCACATCCCCTTTCGTTCGCTTTCTTGGGGTGTCTACTGCTGCATATTTCCAAGACATCCTGAGTTTCTCCATTCAACTCCAAGCGAAGGAGTATATCTTCATCACGTTGCGGGGGTGCAAGCGCACGTCACTGCCTCAATGATCCTCTCGGCTTCATGAGAGCTTGTTTTGCCAGAACTGTTGCTCGTGCAATCGCTGTGGCTGAAACACGTGGTCCTCCTCGAGCCTTTGCAACATTACGGCACCCATAGCCTTTTCTAAAGGAACACGAAACTTCCCCGCACACATAGGGCGCTTTGGACAATCGCTGCCGCCAACCAGTTCATGGCGACCGAAACATGAAAGGGAGCGTCAGAGCTCGTTTTGAGTCGAAAGTACAGCAAACTGATCATGTCTGCAGAGATTCATGCTTCGGCATGTAGCATGTATGAAGGTTGTATGACTTGGGCATACTTGATTGTAAAGTTCCCCAACCACTCTGAACTGACCAGGGTTTAGGGTTGGGAGTTAAGATGAGATAAGGTTTGGAGTGTCGAGTTTATGGTTGAGGCTGTGGGAGACTTCTGGCTTTGGGTTCGGTTTACGGAGGATTCGCGGTTGCCATGCCGCACGGGGCAAAATCTTTGAGCCCAAAAAGGGCACACCCAAATCCTACACGTCCCAAACCTTATCAAACCTACTCCATGTGAACCCTACACACCGCAAACCCCACATCTTACAAACCGTAATCCCTGCGAATCCTAAATCTCGCACCCTTCAGCCGGCCTTATCTGCCTGACAAGTGCCCAACACGGGTAGGCGCAACCTCTTCTGCGCTTGGCATTTCGCAACTTCAACGATGCTGTTGTCGTGCGAGTTTATAGGGGCTGCGCGTTTAGGGTTTGGGGGTTTCGGGGTTTCGGGGTTTCGGGGTTTCGGGCTTAGTCCCCAATCCTCTTTTCACGGACCTGCCAGACGCTTCGCCGAGAAGGGAAAATGGAGCACGGCATGTCGTGCACCTGCGGTTTCGCAGTCCGACCAGCGTCTCCTTAAAGAATTTAATGGGGTTCTGGTAGCTACAAACATCATGCTTCGCCACGCAGGCAGAACAAGAACCAAGTTCAAAACCAGAGCCCCTCAAAACCCAAGGCGCGACATCAACCAGAATAAAACAGGACCGTCCGAACTCCTGAAGCCCAGTTGTGAAGCACTCCCTGAGCTTAAAGACTGCACATGCGTCTGAAGGCAGGTCTGAACCCGCGAAAGCACCGTAAACTACCCATAGTCTCCATTGTAGGCCCTATTCTGGGTTACCTTGTAAGATCCTAAATATGTAATTGGTTAAACCAAGAAAAGGAACTACAATGGAGACTGCAGGTAGACAAGAAGTCTAAGCTGCGAAGCATGACCCGCAATGCCGGAGACTATCTTACGAACCTTTCATTCGCAGAACGATGGTCCTGAACCGAAACCCCGGGGTTTAGGGTTTGAGCCGAAAGCCTGTGAACCAACTTGCAATCGCAAAGGCCCGTGACGCCATGCTATCTCGTTTCGGCGGAATCAGCGAGATTGGCAATGACCTCGCCCTGGCGGATGGCCGCAAAGCGCCCTGGGCTCCAGGCTGGGACAGGGTTGCAGCGCAGGTGTTCTCTTCTGCGTTCTTTCGGGGTTTCAGGGATGCCATGTTCTGCCAGGTGGTCTGTTCTGGGGGGTTTGCAAGGCTCTAGACCCTTTGGAGTCACATCGGAACCTAAAGCAAGTCTGTTAACCGGCGAACAATAGGGGACGACCAGCTACAGAAGGCCAAAAAAGAGAAACACGGGACGAGAAGCTCAAGCCGTTTAACGAAAAAACGAGATAACCACGTGGACACAAGAGGAGAAGCCTGAACAGAGGAACGGCCCCCGTTTTCTACACCCCTCAACACACAAAACGTACGAGCAGCTGAACAACAGAGCGAGCCGCTTCATGTGGTGGTCTTCATACTTAGAGCAGGGTTTGGGGCTCCTGTTGTGGTAGCACTGAAATAAGGAACCTTCAGGACTAATACACGACTAAGTATTTAGGCCCCCTTCTTAACGTCAGTACAAGCAACGAGACAAGGAGCTGAGTAGCAGACAAACACCCAGAACGATCAGCTGAACACTAATAGCACAAGAAAGTGGACGAGCAGCTTCAAAGCGGACGAAGCGGCAGACGACAACATACCCAAAGGCTCCTAAGTACCTACATAGTAGAACGTAGGGTTTCTGTAATAGGAATTACCCCCCCCCATATAGGTACGTAGGATCCTTTGGGATAAAGGGACGAGAAGCCGAACATCGTTAAAACAAACTAAGAGGACGAGCAGACTAACCCCGAGACCAAGCAGAGCGACCTGAACGAAGTATTCGACTGAACCTCCCCCTCCCAAGCACCCACCCACCCACCCACAAAAACAACAACGACGAGTCCCTGAAACACTCACACACACACACACACACGCACACAAACAACACAAAACACACCGCACCGACCAGCTGAACAACGAAAACGCGGCACGAGAAGCTGAACATGAGCATCGGCTGAAAACCTGGACGAATAATGAACACCGACAACAAACCAAAGGACGAGCAGCTGAACATCTCGCGCCAGCAAAAGCAAACAACAAACGGAATGCCACTGAACACAGTGAATCGGCGATGAGCAGGTGGACACCGGCAGAGCAGATGGACAATGAGTCACGGTGCGAGGAGCAGCTGCGCAACGGATAGCAACAACGCAAGGCACAGACAACTCAAAACCTACAAGAAACTCAAGCCTGAAACCCCTAAAGCCCTAAACTTTTGTTCACATCCAGGCCTCTACACCCAAAACTTCAACAGCCCGAACCCCAGAGCCCTTGCGACCAGCGGCTGATCTTATTCCGGTTTAAACCCGGTTTAGGGCTTAGGATTCAAGGTCTTGGGTATAGGGTGTAAGGTCTCTGGCGTCTAGCATAGTTTAGGGGCTGCCCAAAGACTCCAAAACCCCTCAAATAAGGAATATACTAATACCTTAACCCAAATAGGAACCCTAGTATGATTCAAGGCATATTCCTTATTTAAGGGCTTTTGGAGTCTCCGTAATCCCTCATCCCGAAATCCTAAACCCTAATCCCTAAACCCTAAATCGGCGAGCAGCTGAACTTAATCATCCACTGCTGGAGCTCCTTGCGTGGCTCCTGGAGTTCCTCGGGGTTGGGCTTCACCTGAGATCACGGCAGGACCCAAAACACTAGACCCCTATCCCTCTAAGGTTCTTACCCTTATCGTTGCTATTGAAAGTTCTTTGTGCTTACTCTTGCTATTACAATTTATTGACCTTGCTCTTGTCGTTGTTGCTTTTGTAAGTTGTTGTCAACATTCATGCCATTCTTGGCTTCATTTGTATGTCTATGTATATAAGCTAAAGGACGTCATAGCACTAACCAGCGGTGATCAGGAAGCAACCATGCTAACGCGTTTTGGCTTTGCCTAATGCTGCGCGTCTCTCCTCGCCTGGAAAATGTGGACAGCCTCCTCACTTTCAGTCGGCTATCCCAGGGCTTCGCATGGATTTCTGGTCTGCCGAGGGATTCACTAGTGGCGGCGGGCGGCGGAAAAGCTGCTCGTTGCCTTGAGCAACGTTGCCATGACCTAAAGGATCCTAAGGACCTATATGGGGGATACTTCTCCAAACCATAATAGTAACGAAACCCTATTTTCTACTATGTAGGTACTTAGGAGCCTTTGGGTGAACCATGGTGATTCCACGTGATATGCTGTAAAACTGAGCTATTTGCCCAGCTCAGTCAAAGCGCTCATGATAGAAGTAAAAGCGTTGCGTGCAGCCACTGCTTTCATTGTGCTTGTTGCAGGCGACGCACGCTGTTTGGATGGTGCTCTTGATGAGGTCGTTACCACAAAAGTAGACGAAAACATTCTCCCGTGGGTCAGCCTGACCGATGGCGAGAAGCTCTGCGATAAAGTCGGGCCGGCCCATGACGATGGCCAAGGGCTTTTGTGACCCCAACATGCTTCCGGACACAATGGCATGCAAGGGCTTCGGGTAATGACAGAAAGTAGGTACGGTTTCAGTGCTTTTCGCGGCAAGGCGTCGCATCCAATCGTTCCACAGCTCCCGAGTCGCCAGGTCAAACAGACAGCCCAAGCCTTTACCATCCCATCCACCGCGCGTGGCATGGAGGTGGCACTTCGTGTTGCCACTGCCCTGATTCTCAAGCTGAAACAAGAGGTCCTTGAAGAGGAGGAAGTCGGTGGCGTATGACGACATCCAAAAAACATGCGCGTTTTTGCGGTGCTCCTGCGAACCTGCAAGACTTCCCAAGAAGGATAGGAATGGGGTCACTCCAACACCTGCGCCAATACCCACAACTGTGGAACGCAAAGGCATGCTGACAGTGGGAGCATAGAATGGGCCATCGATGTTGATGCGCGGGAACGGGCCAGCCGCGCAGTTCTGGTGGAGCTTTTTGGTCCAGCTGCCAACACACATAATGCAAAAGGTGATCAGCTGACCTCCATTCCCATCATCCTTGCTATTGCTGATAGTAAAGGGGTGCCACTCAAAGCGCGAAAAGCTTGGAATATTCATGTATGCATACTCTCCAACCTTGCACTTGCGGTAGCCACGGCTTAGCTGCACCTCGATGCGGACAAGCTTGCCATTCACAGACTTCTCGGCCTCCAGCAAGGTGGAGGGACAGCAACACGCGAGGTAGGCTCGTCGACTTCGAGTCCATGTATATGCAGCAATGGGAATCCCCGCAACCAGGATAACCAGTGGAAAGCCAAGGCCCACCCAGCCATTAGCGGAATGGAGAACCAGTAGTATGACCCAAGCAGGCACTAGGATATGATGGAGAGCATAGAATACTCGGAAGTGAGCGCGCCTCTCTTTGGCACGAGAAAACCAACCCAGCAGGAAAATCACCACCATCAGCAGGTAGCCCGTAATTCCGGGCGTAGACAGGACACCAGCGAAGTAGCCAATATCTGCGTCTGGCAATGGGCAAGCTGGATATTGAAAGATCGCCAAAAAGTTTCCTCCGGCGCTATCGCCCGCGCAGGCCAGCACTTCGTTCAGTTCTTTTGCTGTGTTTCTTTGGAGCGCTGGGAAGGTGCCAATGTGATGCATCACTGTGTGCACAAGGCTATCTAACAGAACCTGCCAGGCGCTGAAAACATGGAGCTCCTTGTGGCAATTAATGAGCTGCATGATGAGCTGGGATCTCTGCACACATGCGCAACGTGCCAACAAGGACATGAAGTCTCGGGACATGGTGAGGAAAAGGACGCCCGTCCAGAAGCATGCTCCGTAGGCAAAGCCACGAGCGACGGGGATAGGCAAGCCGACAAGTTCCCAGGTCTTCGGCGTCTCAAAGAAGAATTGGTAGGTGGCAAAGAAAGCCATCTGCACAAAGACGAAAAGGAAGATCGTAAACTTGAACTGCATCAGCCGAGAAGCAGAGGCATCTTGTAGGATGAGATCCTCCTTTTTGGACGCTGCCTTGGACTTCTCCAAGATACCCGTAGCCACTCTCGCATCGGAGATTCTGTGTTGGAAGGCAAGTGAAGTCGAGCTGGAAAGGGCTCCACTGTCCAGTGAGTCTTTGGAAGCTGCTCTCGGGACCTGCATGGTATCAATAGACACTTCCGTGTCACAACGCATGTGGAAGGTAGGAGAGGGAGAGCCAAAGGACTTCGCCGTGCTATCCGCTGAGCTTTTCGAGGAGCCTCTGCTGTCCTGGAGCCTTTTCAGCATATGAGCTGCCTCGTCCTGGTCTTTGAGGCTGGCTTCAGAGGGCTCCCTGCTAGGGCGTTCATGGCCAAGCTCTTTCTTCAGCACCTCGCAGCAAGAGGCAATCAGCGCCGCATCATCGTCCCAGAAGTTCAACTTCACAGCTGAGGCCCTCATGACACGCTCCCAGACAAGGTCACTGAAGCCAGCGCCGGCAAGGCTGCCCAGCGCTTTACGAACCTCGTCCCAAGACGACCTCTGTACAGAGCCCAATCTCTCCATGATGGCCTTCACCCTGTCATCATTAGTCAGCGTCGTCACATTCGCCAGCTCTTCCACTTCGTCCTCGTCCAGACTGCCGGGCATAGAAAAGACCTGCCGTTGCGCAGCCGCCATGGCCAGGACAAGCAGAAGCCCTCCTAGGTTTAGGGTTTTGGGTTTAGGGTTTTGGGTTTAGAGTTTTGGGTTTAGGGTTTGGGGTTTAGGGTTTAGGGTTCTCTGAGGGGCCCGAGAAGTCGTAAAGGGAGGCCACAATATTTCTTTAGGGGTTATCAAGCGTTCCAAAGGTGTCTGACACACTGCGGCTTCATCTCCGGGCTCCAGAGTGTGTGTCGCGCTTGAAATGTTTGTGGCTTTGTTGGGGGCTATCGAGAGGGCCGGTGTCACGAGGGGTGGAGGGGGGAGTTTCGGCCTCAAGAGATTGAAGTCGTCATAGTGAGCAGTACGGTTGATGGTCAAAACCCCTGCATGACCCATTATAAGGAACATACCATAATTCCCATAGTTTTGGGGTCCTTAAGGTCATGCAGGATTTTGACCCTCAGCCGTATGAAGTCGCGAGGATCCATTGGCAGAGTTATGGACAACAATTGGGCGGAGTTGCCATGATGTCATGCTCCAACTTTGCAGGGCTCGCAGTAAATTGCACTCACAGACCACGCCCTAAACGCCACACCCAAACCCGAAACCCTGTAAAGCCTGAAGCTAAGCCTCAACCCCGACATCCGAAAATGAGATCAAGCAAGGTGCCGGTAGAGGGACGTGCACCTCCACCGCTGTTGGATTCCGCAGGTCGGTCTCCAGCTTCAGAAAGCCAAACATGATTTCAGAGTCTGGCATTTCAGGGATTACCTATAGTCTCCATTGAGTTCCTTTTTTGGGTTAACCAGTCTTATGGTTGGATCCCCTAAAAAAAACTAGTTTAACTATGAAAAGGAACTACAACGGAGACTCTAGGTAGGTAGGTTTCCGGGAGTCGTCCAGCCATAGTAAGACCGTGGTGTGGATGGCTTCCGAAGCGAAGCTAATCGCACAGGAAACCGCCCTGAGTTCAAGACCCACCCAAGGAACCGAAACGACCGGTGCACTTAACTATTCACCGGCGAAGTCAGAATAATCCTCGATTGCCGAGCTTCACCGTCGGAATCTCTAACTGTGTAGTATCATGAAGCAATGGAGCAGTCTATCTACGTTCTGAGCTCGGATTCTCCTCGAAAAGCCCTATCCCGAACCACTGAATCTCCTCCACACACGCAAAGACCCATTGCCAAACCCAGCAACACTTAAAAGCCCTGCAGCCAGAACCCTACAATTAAACCCAACAGCTCAAAATCCTGAAGCCCCAGAGGATAGAACATTAATCCCTCAAGCACCCCCACCCGTGCCAATCGCAAACCCTGAAACAGTAAATCTTCACTTAGCCCCAAAGGCCCCACGACCCTACTAGATCAACCCCTTTCTTAAGCACCCTCAAACCCCTTGAAACATTCAACCCATGCTAAGCCCACATCCTAACACCTTGACTCCCTGAAATATGGAAAAGCGGCAATACATTGTCCGGAAAAGAAATGCTACGCCAACACCCACAAGCCTGAAACCCAAAATTGACCTCAACTCTTTTTGAAGCCTACCTTCGTGGGCTTACTTACTACGAATTCTTTGTGTAAATCCTGGAAAAGGAGGGGGGTGCTTTGGGGTCCTAAACCCTGAGTCCCTAATCCCCCAACTTAAACCAAAGAGGCTGACATGTGAGCCAGGTTACCAGCCTAGCCCCCGAAGTTGTCCACACGTGGCTCAAGCAGCACCTCTTTCTCTGGGTGTCTGTTTTGTTCTTGTGCTTCAGGGCTTAGGGATTCGGGGTTCAGGGCTTGGTTCTGAGGGCCTTTCTGAGTTTACTGTTTAGGGTTTAGGGTTTAGGGCCTTTTTGAGTTTAGCTTTCTTCGGTGGGGGTTCGGGTTTAGGGCTTGTAAGGCTTAGGGTTTAAGAAGTTGGGGAGTGGTCTGGGAGCGAGCACGGCAATCGTATTTTATCTACAGGGGTTCTGGAATAGGTAGAAGATGTGGAACGGATTGGTTTGAAGGTCCGAAAGAGCTAAGAGAATCTTGGTTTGCCAATAGGATCTACAACCTATATATATTTTTTTTATACAAGCTCATTTATTCATTGAAATGTTTTATATTCATACACATGTACAATTTGTACATATACATATACATATACATATACATCTACATATACATATACATTTACATTTACAGATACGTATACATATACATATACATATACATATACAGATACATATACATATACATATACATATACCTCTACATCTACATCTACATCTACATATACATATACATATACATATACATATACCTCTACATCTACATATACATATACATATACACATACATGTACACATACATATTCATCTACATGTGCATATTCATATACATGTACATATTCATATGCATATACATATACATATACATATACATATACATATACGTATACCTCTACATTTACATATGCATATACATATGTAAATATATGTACATCCAGCTCATTTTGCCATGAAGAAGATCATGAACAAAAATTCCGAGATGGGTGGTGGCCCCGTCGCGGCAGTTTGCAACCGGCAGGGGAATGCTGTTCCGTGGAGAAGTGCCTGGAACACTGGCAGGGACCCTGCTGTGCCTGAAAGGCTCAAAAGAGACTGGGGAGTGCCTGCAGCTGCTTTACCACGGAAGCAGCAGAGAGCAAACAACAGGGGCCAGTCTAATGCGACAGAGACAACTGCTTTGAGTCAAGACTGTACAAAGAAGTCGTGATATTTTTTTCGAGGACGCCCCTTTACCACATCAGCAGCACAGTGGGCCGGTCTATTGCGACGAGGTGAGACGGTCAGACCACTTAGAGGAGCAACACAGCAAAACAGAACAACACACCACACACAAGAGAAAGCGAAGCAACAGCACTCGAATCCTACGGTGAAACGGCCCTCTCTCAGAACACGAAGGTCGAGTACAAAAAAGCAACCGCTAGCGCAGGTTCGAAAACTCGGTCCTGAGGGCTTAGAGCTGGCTTAGAAGGGTCAAAATGCCCGTAAAATGCGCGCAAAATCTTGTCAGAGTGTAGCCTGGGGTCGGAGTTTCTTCGAATGATTGGATCGAGTCCGGTTCAGGGCAGGAGAATGGGCCCCCCCCCTTTGGGCAAAGGGGGGCTCAAGCCCCCCTTTAAGCCCCCCTTAAGCCCCTCTTCAAAGGGGCAAACTTAAGCCCCCCCTTTAAGCCCCCCTTAAGCCCCCCCCTTAAGCCCCCCCTTAAAGCCCCCTTTAAGCCCCCTTGAAGCCCCCCTTTAAGCCCCCTTTAAGCCCCCCTTTAAGCCCCCCTTTAAAACCCCTTTAAGCCCCCCTTTAATGAAATTTTACAAGATCAGTGTTCACAGACTGGCTTGGTCACACAATCCAGAATACACAAGATGCACAGCAAAGTCACTTGATGCAATCGCTCACTCAGCTATCTTGTTTGTGCCGCCTTGAGCCAAAGTATCGAGGCAATGCTCATGTTGAGCATGCCACTGCATCAATGCTTCTCTGGAAGCATGCCAATTGTGACCTTCTATTCCAACACGGTCCCTCAGCAGAGACAATGGTTGTCTGTGCTGTTCTCAAGTCACAACTCAAATGAGTTCGTAAAACAAAGACTCAATCAACCAATCAACGGAGAATATCGAAAAAAATCTCAACTGCAAACGACTACCAATCAGCTCAGCAGTAAACATTGCACTCAGAGGCTCGGCTCAGTCCTTTTGCTTGGTAAGCGAATCGCAATCGCTTCAAAAGAGAACTTGCAACGAAACCTGCAAAGTTGTTTGGCGTTCCGAATGCTCCAATGCATCCGAATCAATACACCACACGGGGTGGTCCTGAGAAACGGTCAGCAAAGTTTCCAATCGGGGTCCAATGAGCTGCAGCAAATGAAAAAACCACATCATCACCAATGAAAAGCATCAACTGTAAAACCAATCATCAAAGCAAGAACCAATCAAATGCAATCCCATCTTTCCAGGCCAGACAAAATTGTTGTGCGCCAATGCACTTCAATCGATCTTGTTGATCGTCGTGGTGATTCGCAATCGGCTTCCAGCATCGTCGATGATCGTCACTTCAGAGCTGCCAACGCTGTTCCGACTCAAAGCATTCCGCTGGCTTGCCAATGTGCTCTGCAATGAGGCTCCGGGTCCTGCTGCGCGACCCGCTCCCAATAGGAAGCTGAGCTTTGACGGCAACGCAATGTGCCGGTGGATGGAATGCTGTCCAGAATGCACCATGTCCCAATGGAGACCATCAGTCAGCTCACGCAATGTGGTCTGCGTGTCCAGAACCACCAATGTGCTCACTTCTTCCTGGGTCAGGACAATCTCAGTCTCATTCGGTTGAGGCTCAAGAATTGCGGCGAATCCGCAGTAGCTTTGGTTATGCCAATGCTTCAGACCACCAGTGCCATCAGCATTCTTCAATACAACTGGCAATCTTCCCACTGCGTGGTTCACGCCAACGATCATCAGGTTCTCATCTCGCAATGCCTTGATGCTTGGGATCTGATCAATCCACATCAAGAGCTTCGAAAGGCTGTGCGCCACTGAGAGGAAAGAATTTGCCTGTTGGCACGGGAAATCGCTGACCAATAGCCTGCCTGTCTCGACCAATCGCATAGCAACTGTGTTCGGCAATGCAATGAAGCAAGGAAAGGAGACCAATGCATCCGGGATCGTCGGAACCGGGCTCACATGCACAATCCGCCAGTTGCTAATAAGCATCGTGCGAAGACTCAATGGCAGGAAGGCTTGGTTGGCATGCCACAGCCAATCCGGGGAGAAATTTGTGATCTGTCCCAATGTCCTTCCAGGCTGGGCATTCATCCTCATCAATCCCCAGGCAATGGCCACTGAGGGGCCGCACCCAAGAGGGTCGGGCCATCTGCTGGATTTAAGGCAATCCAATGTCACCAATCGCAATGGATTGATGTCCAGGGGTTCCAGGGGAGTCAGACTCCCGGTATCCGCTGCGTTGATCAGCGTTGCGCCAATCCCTTTCTCGATGACCCGCAATCTTTTCAGTGCGGTTTTCGCCCTTGGGACGTCCAGAGCAACGTGTCTTGCAATGGACTGGCAAAGCTGCTCGTCCGGCAGCCAACCGATGGAATCCACAATCATCTGCTGGAGATTCCCATTTCCCATTGTGGCGTCTCGGATCAATCTTTCCTTTCTCTCTTTTAACTGGGTTGGCAATGCCAATTGCTGAGGCATCGGGGCGTCGGCCATGGCTGATGCAGGCTACACACTGTCAGACCAATGTCTCACGCACACAGTGCGCAACAGACTCTAAGGATCGAATGAGTAATCGCAATGTGACGTAAGCCACAGTTCAGCGTGACCAATGCTTCAAAATTTGCAGAAAATCAATTCTTCATGCAATCCGCTCACCGGAAAATCAATTCAAGATTTCGGGGTTAATGTACAATGACAGTCAGAAGGAGCAATTTGTTCAACTGCTATGCTTTGACGGTCCCTGTTTGCCAATGTCGTTTCAATGGCGGTCCGCTCCCAACCGCAATGCGTTGACGGCGGTTGAGCGATGCTCATAAAGTCGATCTTAAACACAATAAACAATAAACAACATGACTGACTGAACAATGCACAACACAGTGACTGACATGTCACGCTCATGACCGCAATGCCAATGCACATGCACTGCACTGTCAAGACAGCAATGTTCTTCTCTCTCTCTTTCTCTCAATACTCAACGCAATCCAGTTTAGACCGCGGAGGTCAAAGCGAAAACGACACAATTCCTCGGTCCCTCAAACAGGACCGGAAGAGCAATGCAATGACCCAAGCCCGTAAGGCCGCGGGCAAGAAGGGTCGGGTGGGCGGGGAAACAAAGGAAAAGTGAAACAATTTTTTTTTTCGATCCAGTGCTCAGCCATATCGAAATGGGTCCTGACCAATCCAAGCTTTCCAATGAGGTTGTGCAGTGTCTCGGTGAAGACGTATTTGGTCAATACATCTGCTGGGTGGAACTTGGTTCCTATCTTACGTAATTACTTGCAGCAATCCGCTCTGCACAAGATTTTGCATGTACAAGTGCGCAATTCTACGTGCTTTGTACGCTTTCCAGCGCCAAATCTAGTCGCCATGCTTTTACCTGCGGTAGACGCAACAATTTGCACGCGTCGCGCAAAGTCCGCTTCCAAGACAAGATTCTTCACAAACAATGCCTCCTTCACTCCTTGGCTGATGGCGTAATTCAGCCTTGCCAGAAGACAATGCCACAGTGGCCTGCGTCCTCGAGAAGTGAATGACAATCAAGAATCTGCACGGTGCTTCCGCTGGTGCTCTTTCGCGTGCAACAACCTGTCCAATCGCTCTCTGCACAGCAAGCAATGTCAAGGGCGCAGCGGAAGTCCTCAAGGTTCCAAATGCGACAAGACGCCATGCGGCCAGTCAACGGAAAGTCCTCCGCAGTTTGACATGCCTCCAATAAGGCTCATATGGTCTTCTTCTAGCTTTGGCGAAGCGGGAGACACAGGTTCCATGCCGGAAGAGACACTGCACACATTCGGCGGGTTTTTGGACCTTGTTCACATCGACGGAACAAGCCAAGTAGGCTTTCTAAGGGCAAAACAGCCATCCGAGCAGTGGTGTTGGGCCATTTCAGGTCAAAGACGGAGTAAAAGTGCTTAATGTTCTGATTGGCTTCGAAGCACCAACAAAACAAGAACATAATTCCCCCTGAGGCGTGCTCCGGGTTTCCGGAAAAGGCCCGGGCCTATTTTCTTCAGGGCGGCGGTTTGGGTATGTGAACCTTTGAGAATTTGTAGAAGATCTTAGGCGTTGGCTGGGCAACATGCAGCGTGAGTTAGCAGCAGCAGCACCGTCACGTCAGCAAGGGACATAGTTGAGGATCGGGTTTATCGGTAGGTGCGCAGCAGGTTTCTTGACGCAGGAAACGGCAGGTGAACTGCAAGAGCCGAGGGCTTAGGCACCTTGAAGTTGTACACCTTACCATTCGCCAAGAGCTGCAGCAAAATTTCAAGAAACATTTAGGCAAGGCTGCTGTGTGCAAGCCTGCTCCATGTAGTAAGCCGGAGTTGCCCCCTGTCTATTTTCTTGGCTCGCCCTAGCAGCCTCGGGTTGTTTTGCTTCTTGGTGCGTCTTCGCTTGCTATCTGCGGTTGTTTGGCTATGGGTGCGTCTGCGATCACCATACGTGCGGTTGTTTTGCTTAGTGGTGCATCTTCGCTTACCGTGCGCTTGTTTTGCTTATTGGTGCGTTTTCGCTTACTCCGTGCGGTTGATTTGCTTATTGTTGCATGGGTCTTCGCTTACTACGTAAGGTTGTTTTACTTCTCAGTGCGTCTGCGCTCTATATGCGATTGTTTTGCTTATATTGGTGCCTCTTCGCTTACTATGTGCGTTTGCTTTGCTTCTTGCTGCGTCTTCACTCTATGTGCGCTTGTTTTGCTTATTGGTGCGTCTTCGCTTACTATCTGCGGTTGTTCTGCTTGTTGGTGCGTCTTCGACATTACATCATTCGTTGCGTTTCAACACTTGCCGCTGTCGAAGAGTACTGAATTCACAGTCGCGCCCCAGTCAGCAAAAAAATCTGAGAATGGATGCATCTGTTTCCTTGCGACACTTGCCGGGGGTCATCCTTACCATTGGCGCCCTGGATGAAAAACAAGCACTCAAGTTCGAATAGATTGTTGGCAGCTGCTGCCCGGTGTTTCTGGAAGGAAGAATGGCCGTCAGCGCCCTCCTAAGCAAAACAACTGTCAGCGCTCCCCAATAATTAGGCGCAGATGAAAACCTCCTGAACCCTGAACACACTTTGTGCATGTCGTCAAGCCCTAAACCTATATAAACCCTAAACCCTATAATCCCCACACCTCAAACGCTAAGGAGCAAAGCAATTCTTTGCCCTTAGACGTCAGATGCTCTGCCTCTGAGCTAATCTCCTCCCAAACCGAAAATGTTCACGTTGTACCGAATCGTCCGAAGTGCTTCATGCCGATCCTCTTGCCTTGCGGAAGGAAGGATTCGTGCAACATTGGCAAACCCTAAGGTCCACTGCTCCGCTATGTGCAAGGACTGGTGTTTCCCCCAGTGGAACTGGTCGCTACTGATGCGCATTGACCTCCCTTCTGGCTGGCTGATGCAACTTGTCGGGACGGGGACACCCTTCTGGGTGGGCGCTGCGGTGAGCCTAGTGGAGTGGAGAGCCTCTCGCTCGGGGCTGCACCACTGGCTGACCTCGAGTACTTTCGGCTGGTCTTGCCTTGATTGTTGATTGTTCATCGTGTTATGTCCAAGGTAAGACTGCCCAGTCTTCCTCTCCTCCGCCCCTCTTTGACCGGGTAGGTTGCCTTTTCTGTGCCATGGCACTGCAAGAACCCCTCGGCTTTGAGACCCAGCAGCCGCCCACACTGGTTGCCCCACCGCTCATCACGGAACGAGACAACGCTTGGATCACAGTGAGTCATGGCAATGCGACCCTCCCCTTTGTGGTATCTCCGCCGAATGAGGACTCTCGAGAGGCCAATGCGGTGGTGCTGCTTCTCCCAGGTTGCGGGCACTTCTGCTTGAAGAAAAAGACTCACTGCCCTGGCAAGGAGCCATCGAACACCTGTGGAGTAACCTGGCCTTCAAAAAGGGCCATCATCGCCTATGCTTGGCCTGTGGCAGGGCAGGCAGGCTCTCCGCCCGCCTGGATGCTACCTGACGGCGCCGCCTGAACGAAAGCTGTGTATACCATGGAGATCTTGGGCTCTTGCAGGCTGCCAAAAGTGATGTGAGCCCTCACATCTCCTTGCCGACGTACCTATTGGCTTGGGCTCTGGAGGGACCATTGCTTACCAGATTGAAGTCTCCGAGACCCCGGCGAGCTTTCGGGCTTGCGTGTGTGGCCTCCCCTCTGGCTGTCTGTTGAGACTTTGCTTGCGCGCGGACATCTATCCAGGTGGGCGCAGCTGCAAGCCAGGGTGAGCGGAGGACCTTTCGCTCGGGGCTGCTCCACTGGCTGACCACCATGGAGTGCCCTGGGCCGGTCTTGCCTCGATAGTTCTTGCTGTTAAGTCCCCACTGGCTGACCACCATGGGGCACATCCCCTTGCCACTGCGGGTCTGTTATCTGTCCTGGACGACGGGTACGGGATCCTGACGGCCGAATATCGACTCTGGAGAGGCCAATGCGGCGGTGCTGCCTCTCCCAGGTTGCGGGCACTTCTACGTGGAGAATATGCACCTACTGCCCTGGCAAGGAGCCATCGAACACCTGTGGAGTAACTTGGCCTTCAAGAGGGCCATCATCGCCTGTGCTTGGCCTGTGGCAGGACAGGCAGGATCTCCGCCCGCCTGGATGCTACCTGACGGCACCGCCTGGACGAAAGCTGTGTATACCATGGAGATCTTAGCGCTCTTGCAGGCTGCCAAAAGTGATGTGAGCCCTCACATCTCCTTGCCGACGTACCTTATTGGCTTGGGCTCTGGAGGGACCATTGCCTACCAGATTGCAGTCTCCGAGACCCGGCGAGCTTTCGGGCTCGCGTGTGTGGCCTCCCCTCTGGCTGTCTGATGAGACTTTGCTTGTGCGCGGACATCTATCCAGGTGGGCGCAGCTGCAAGCCAGGGTGAGCGGAGGACCTTTCGCTTGTCGCTGCTCCACTGGCTGATCACCATGGAGTGCCCTGGGCCGGTCTTGCCTTGATAGTTCTTGCTGTTAAGTCCCCACTGGCTGACCACCATGGGGCATACGCACGTCTTTCCTCTCCTTTGGGGAGTCTGACCTGTAGCATCCCTTTGCCAATGCGGGTCTGTTATCTGTCCTTGACGACGAGTACGGGATCCTGACTATCGAGTGATGACCTCGGTTCGAGTCGAATGATGTCGCACCAGTAGCTACATGATGGTGGTTTTGAGAATCTGGCAGTGTCGCATTTTGCGACTCCCCGCATGCTCTGTGCTGTATGATTGCACCGGGACTTCAACGACGACTTCGAGTACTGAGTGCGTGGGGTTACCTAGTAGTTCAGCGCCTTTGCTTGCTTTGTTTCTTCTGTTTCTTCGTTTCTTGGGTGGTTGCGTGGTGTGTTTGGTGGTTTGCGCGCGCTGACTTCGTTTCACCTGTTATGTCGAGCCCAACAAGACCGGCCTACTGTGCTACTGATGTAGTAAAGAGGCGCCAGTCCAAAAAAAAAAATCGAAGACAAGCGACCGCTTCTGACTGCGTCCCCTTTCTTGAGGACGAGCTTGGAAAGGTCAACTAGAAAGCTGCATCAATTCCCTGAACTGCGGCTTGGAGCATCTAATCGGTCAATCCTTCTTCTTCAATCTGTCAGTCCAGAGTGTAGGCATTGCGTTGTCCTGCATCTGGAAGCTGAATGAACTAGTTGAAAGCATTCGGTTCCACGAGGAGCAGATGCTCCAGTGGGTTGTGCTGGCGGATGTTGTCCGGGCCAAACAAAACTGCTCTTCAGCCCATACCTGGCTTGCGAAGAAAAGAGATCTTTGGAGTTCCCTGTTCCCAGACTCGAGTCTCACGCACCACCACAGTCTCTGCTCCAAATCAAAGCCAGCCCTAAGCCCTCAGGACCGCGTTTTCGAACGAGTTCCAGCCAAATCAGAGAGAAAGGACTTGCTCCAACAACCAAACAGCCAGAGGCCACGCCAGAACAGAAGCCAGTTTTAAACACAGACACAAGAGAGTCTCATTGTTACTTCGAACAATGCCAACAGTTTATCAACGGGTTGGGCAGTTTTGAGCCATCAAGACCACAGCTTTAAAGAAGCAGCTGGCCCTTCTGTACTTTGCATCAGACACGCAAGTCGTGATAGCTCGCAACACAAAAGCTTCAAATCGTGTTTACGTGCCTGGCACGTTCTGAAGACCATGTCTTTGGCATAGCGAACCGGTTGGCAGTTGGCAGCTTGCCCAGCAGCAGCTCGTGTAACCCTCAGCCAGAGCCTGAGCTATATGTGTATGCATGTATATATGTATGTATGTATGTATGTATGTATGTATGTATGTATGTATGTATGTATGTATGTATGTGTGTGTATGTATGTATGTATGTATCTATGTATGTATGTATGTATGTATGTATCTATGTATCTATGTATTTATGTATTTATGTATGTAGGTATGTATGTATGTATGTTACGTAGGTGTGTATGTATAGATACATATATATATGTGTATATACGTATCTCCCTATATATTAGCCCCTCCCCCCCCCCCCCCCCCCCTTCCCGGGAACCTTCCAAGCCTTTGTTTCCTAAATAACGTCGCGCATTTCCTGCTTCTTTCGGATATGCCCTGTTTTCATATGTCCATGCAAAATTGGTGCTACTTGTACTGTATGTGTACTACGTACTTGCACTTAACACGGATGTTTCACTTTCCACGCTCCACATGATTTTGGGCCTATGCCCTGGAAAGTGAAAAGCGGGGAGCAGAATAGGCCAGAAAAGAGTGGAAAGTGGATCTGGCATCTTGGTCTTGCATCTTGGGTCGAGGTAGGTCGCGGGGGGGGTTGGGGCGGGCTGGGGGGGAGGGGGGGGTGGCGGCAGATATGCATAGATGTGCACAGACACACTTTAGGCTCGACTTCGGGCTCCATAATCTTCCGATCTCCTTTCTCTTGGATCTTCAAATCTGTGGGATCTTCACTGACTACAGGATCTTGTTAGAAATTTTCGGATTGCATCAAGACACGACTTCGGGCTTTGGACAATTGCAAACAAGTATGATGCGCAGCATTTCAAACATCACGACACAGTCCTAAATAGCAGCAGGTACGTCCAACTGGCCAAACTGGATGTCAGCACACATTGGAGAGTCTGTTTGTTAGATGCCCACTCTCCAAGTGTGGGGCATCCCCCTGCAAAGAAAGAAACATGAACGCAAATTGCGCCTATGCAATCATGCATGAACTGCGTTGCCCTTGGACACAGGGTGTGATACACACTCACACACACAGAAGTACATATAAATAAATATATATATATACACATAAAAATATGTATTTCTTTCTTGTTTTAGTTTTTGAAATCCATTTGTGTATTCATTTTTACGTACCTGTTATTTGCATGTATTGTATTTATCTCAAACACTGCCAGACAACGTACGGGAGACGCATGCCCATGCTTTGTGGCACTGTGCTGCGCCGGCATCCCACCACGCCATGACGGGCATTCTGAGGGCAGGCAGCGCATGTGTTTGCGTTGTTGGACTTTCTTTTGGGGTCAGGTGCAACCCCTCAACCCTAAACATCCCTAAACCCTAAGCCCTAAACCCTAGACCCAAAATGTTCTGCATCAGCTAGGCGGGTGGCAAAAAACACCAAAATGGAGCCAATGGAGCTCGACGATGCTTGGCACACATCCCAGTCGCAAGGAAGCATGCCCAAAGCGCGAAATGAGTAGAGGATTGCTTCGCCGAGGCATACTGGCTTACTCTTACTAGCACAGCTTGCGCTTTCACGTTAAATAGATCTACCAAGTATATCTGCAAAAAGATAATACATAAATCAAAGTAGTACACAGATTTGTTTTGTTAGCATATATATATATATGTACACATATATATATATGTATGGGTGTAGTCCTCACCTTGTTTGCAGATAGTTCTAGCTGTGGACAGTCATCCTCAGCTGCTAGCTGCATTCGACACAGTTGGCTTGTCTTGCCTTGCACTTGACCCCCGGGGAGATGTATGGGGACTCGTGACTTAAACTGAGCGGAGCTTTCATTCGAGCTTCAGCGGAGACGGAGTAGCACCTCGACATTCTCTTAGGGCTGAGGGTTCAGGGTCCTATCGAGTTCATTGTCCGCTATGGACTGATTTGCGTCCTGCTGATGCCAGCGAAAGCTTGCTTGCTGCCGGGGTTCGGGGTTTCTGCCCCCACAGCGATTCTGGCGATGACAGCCCGACAAAAGTTAGACATGTGGAGCCTTGTGCGGAAGGAGGTGACACGTGCTTGAGAAGCTCTTGACATGGTACAGCGAGCCTTCAATGGTCAATGCATCGTTTGTGCAGCGTCGGCCATTTCGGCTTCAGGCCCGTCTGTCCCAATCCATCATTGCATGTAAGCACTTCGGCTCCCGCAGCAAACTGAGATCCTGCTCGCCTCCTTGGCCTGTTGGAGACCCCCAATATATCTCGAAGCCCAAACACACAACTTGCCTCAGGAGAGGCTTCGCCAACTTGTAGAGTTAGTTCCATCTTTGCCGGCTGGCAGCAGCCAGGCGCTCAGCATCTGTTTCAGCACGACATGGCCGCGGCGCATCAGCAGGCCACACTCTGTCCCCACCCCGAGTAGAGCACAGTAGGCTAGAGCCACAGGATGCCACGCAGCGTGCATGTGCGTGGCACGTCGTGCTCACCGTTCACAGGAACACTCCATGTTCCGCCTGTCTCGGTTCGGCAGTTGGCTTTCCACTACTTGTTCTGCCCTCCATGCGCTTGCGTAGCAATGGCTGGTCGCTCTGATGGCATTCTGCTTGCCCTGTGCCTGGCATGGGCTTGCCGTGTTTTGGCCGAGCCAGCGCAGGAGAAGCATGTGATGACTGAGGCCACTAAACAGAGCAGTGGCAGTCTAATTGCGTTAGCTGTCCGAGCATGACAAGCCGAGCCTCGAGGTGAGCAAGAATCCCAATAGTCGGTTAGTCCAACAACAGCTGGCCAAACAGCTTTAAAGCGTGGCTCGCAAGCTGACCAAAGAGTTTTGTCCCTTGCCCGGGGACTTGAAGCATCTTGAAGCCCTCAGCTCTCAACATGAGTAAGCCGAGCAAGCACCCTCAAAGCTTGGGTATGCTTAAGTAGCACTCTCCGTCAGGCAGCGGAGAGAGCCGGCGCAGTGTGCCTTGATGGCACGCCTCCAGTCTACTATCTCCGACGAGGCCTCCGATTGAAGGTTTCAGTGTCTGCCGTGCTTAACTCTTCTTCGACTGGCTGCTGCACGTGCCTTTGACAATGAGACGTTCATGATTCATGAAGTTCTCGACATATCCTTGACGACTCTTTCGGTTTCTCGGTCAGAGATCTTGCCGTCAGCTTGTATTGCGATGGCAACTTCATTGAGGAGTTTGGGGTGAAGACACTTGTCATCTGCTGAAGCTTGCCATGTGAAGTTTGGTGGCTTGGTACCGTGGCAGCTTTGTAAAAGAAAAGAGAGAGAGAGAGAGAGAGAGAGCAATTCTCCCCCGGAAATGGGACACCCACATTGCCTCAGTGCCCTTGCGAGTTTCTTGTTCAGCTACATAAACGCATATACAAACCCTAGGCCCACACAAACTTGACCCCCGACCCCGGAACGATCACAAACAGACGGTTCGTATGCATCTTCGCTGATGGATGGCTGGCCGACATTTTCTGTTCCATACAAGTCATGTAGTCAAGGACTATGGCACTTGGAGTAGTGTCACCAATTAGCACTGAGAACCTCTCAGTTCTCCAAAAGGGGGTTGTAGGGGCACCTTATTGGGGTCCTGATCATAAGGGAATCCTACTATTTGGGAGTCTATATTCGGGGTCCCTTAGTTTCGTAAACCCGCACATGCTATGGAACTGGCCACCATCCAGACATTCTACCCCGGCGTCCTCATCCTTGAACCCTAAACCCTAAACCCTAAACCCTAAACCCTAAACCCTAAACCCTAAACCCTAAACCCTTTGCCCGATTGCTTCTGGGAGGCTTTGGCGCCGGCGTGAACAAGTGGAGCCTCCGACTGCAGTCTATGGTTGTTAACCACCTTCGGCGACCATTTCAGAGGCTTTTTCCTCTGGTGAGTTTATGAATATTATTAGTATTACTAGTATTCTTTGTATTCTTAGTACTCTTTGTATTCTTAGTGTTCTTAGTGTTCTTAGTATTACTAGTATTATTAGTATTATTCGTATTATTAGAATTATTGTTCTTCTTATTACGCTAATTATTAGTGAGCTATCTAGGGGGTCCTGTCGCCAACAGCCGGCTACGCCCCAAAGCAGACGAGGACTTAGAGGCTTGGGTGCAAGGAGGGTTCGCGTTTTTTTCGTTGCTTTGGGGAAGCGGGGCCGGGGACGACAACAAAGAGAATAAAAGCAGGAACAAGAAGAAGCAGAAGAAGAAGAAGAAGAAGAAGAAGAAGAAGAAGAAGAAGAAGAAGAAGAAGAAGAAGAAGAAGAAGAAGAAGAAGAAGAAGAAGAAGAAGAAGAAGAAGAAGAAGAAGAAGAAGAAGAAGAAGAAGAATAAGAATAAGAATAAGAAGACGGAGAATAAGAAGAAGAAGAAGAAGAAGGAGAAGGAGAAGGAGAAGGAGAAGGAGAAGGAAAGGAGAAGGAGAAGAAGAAGAAGAAGAAGAAGAAGAAGAAGAAGAAGAAGAAGTATAAGAAGACGGAGAATAAGAAGAATAAGAAGAAGAAGAAGAATAAGAAGACGGAGAATAAGACGAAGAAGAAGGAGAAGGAGAAGGAAAGGAGAAGGAGAAGAAGAAGAAGAAGAAGAAGAAGAATAAGAAGAAGACGAAGAACAGCAACAAATGTAGATACCAGAGCAGGAACGGACCATGCTTTGCTCATAACCTCTGGTCTCGTACATGTAATTCCGAAAAAGGAAAGGGGCAATCTCTACACAACAAAAGAAGGCACATTTACAGACAACGGCACCCGTCCCCGACCAGAAGCTGCAGTTCGTTTCAGGATGGTATGAAATACGTGGCACATGGACAATGCAAGAAGTGGTGCGGGTCACAGTGATGCCCCAAACATGCTCATCACCAATGTTCTTGGCCCGATGATCCCGAGGCAGACGTACCTGGGAGCCACCATGGGCCTTTGGCGTACTTTGGGGCTTCGGACAAGGGAGCAGCCATAGCTAAGCACGCAAACAACCGCGTCACTTATTGCGTTGTCTGCATTTTGGGGGGCCCCGACGATTCCAAGAGCACTGATGTTCAAGATGCCGCCCTTTTCTGAGTGCCCAGAACGCGCACCCAGGAGCCAGAATTCACCCCAGGATAATGCGTGATTTTGTTCTTTAGAATGGGGCTTTCTTTCAACAAAATTGGGAAGAGGCGAAGAGGATCCTCTTCTCCAGGATGAAAAGAAGCAAAGAAAACAAAGGCCAGAAAAGAGGAAAATAGTGAGTTAAAACATGCACCAAGAGCTGTCGCAGTTCGTGCTAGTCTTGCACGGATTTGTCGTGTGCTTGAGTAACCGTAACAGAAGCTCTCGCATTTCTTATTTAAGGTGTTTCCGTGAAAGCAGGAGGGGTAAAATACCAGCCATGAGAATAATAGAGCAGAAGCTTTTGTGAAACGGCCCTTTAAAATTCCAATCGTGAGTTTTAACAGGCACCAAACAGCTGTCGTACTTAGTAGTCGTACACGTCGTGTGAATTAGGAAACTAACAAAAAGTCTCGCATTTCTTATCTAGAGTTTTTCAGTGAAAATAGAAAAGATAAAGCAGCAGCCGCGTGAGTAATCCAACATAGTCTTTCGTGAAATGGCCCTTAGAATCTCTCTCGAAAATAGGCGGTGGGACTACAAAGCATGGAGGTGAAAATGAAGGTTTTCTCTCGCATCAAGGGAGGGGAACGAAGGCCTGCTCCAGCATTAAAGGTACTGAGGGGAATGAGGGTACTTTCGAGCATTCAAGATGCTGAGGGCTACTGCGTAGCTGTCTTTCTTTCCTTGAGCACATAGCAAATCCAAAACCAAAGATGGAAACCATGGTCTTTGTGCGCGTGTGTGTCTCTAGGGTTAGTTCTTGGGGGGGGGGTATGTATGTATATATATATATATCTATCATATTTTATGTAGAAATCTAAATTAGCACGTAGGAATATATTCTGCACCTGTTACCTTGTCCAGGTATGTTCACCACCAGGGAGGCGGCTGGTGCGAGTCGCTGGACGACTGCGTAGGCCGCTCTCGGACGGTGACTTCGAATGCATTTCTGTCTGGTTTTGTAGCTTTGTAGCATGCTAGCTTTCTAGTAGTATATGTTATATTATGGTATTCTGGTATTCCCCTTGCAATCCTGCACTGAGCACGACAGAATGGACGCTGTTTTACTGGCGACAAGTATATACAAACGCTGACCGAACGAAAATGTGCCGCGTAGGATATGAAGGACACGGCCGGCTCCGTTTCCTTCGACTGAATCAGAACCCGAAACCCTAAATATGTTCACCGATGATCAAGGTTACCCCGACTTTGATGATTGTTTGCGGATGGACCTCCCACCGGCCACAGCTCCCCTTAACGACTAAACCTGATGCGGCGACGCCTAGAGTTCATCGCATTCTATTGAGGGACCAAGTGAAAGTATTGGGCTTATAAGGCCGAGTGCAGTTTCGGCCAGCCCCTTAGATGCTACCTCCCCCAGAGCCCAGAAGCGCCCACCTTCGGGCGGAGGTTTAATCGTAGACAAGAGGGCGACTTGTCAGGCTCTTGGTTCATCCTCCTCATACCCAGCCAGCGTTGGCTTGGAAGGCGCTGAGCGTTGGATCCCCAGCCGTGTTTGTTCCGCGGCACATCCCAACATTGCGCAGCTGGCTACTTCTCAGCGAATGCGTCGGTCAACCCAATGATGTCCGAGGCTTAGTTGAGGCAAACTTGCCCCCATGGGTCCACCACCCTTGCAAGTGCTCAACGCTTATCCGATGAGGTACAACTGGAACATTGTCTTCATGATGTACTGTGGCACCCTCAGTTTGGCCAAACTGCTGTTCAACGCCAACATCCGAGACATTCTTTCGAAAGTGCCTGGCATCTAGGCGAGTGGCAAAAGATCTTGCATTACATAGAATTTGATGATGCCTTACGCAATGCGCGCGTTTATTTAGTCTTGTCCTTCTCGGCTTTAGTACGAAACCCGGCCCACCCCCATTCATGTAGCCCCGCATGCGTGAGCGAATATCAGACGAGTGTGCCCGACAGACCAGGTAGGTGGGTATCAGCAACAGGCTCACACCTTACATAAGTTGTTCGAAGCCCAGAACCCCGAGCATGCATTGCTCGCCTGGCTTGTCAGATCCTTGGAACTTCGATCTGGATCCATTGAGTCCCTGTCTCTATTTGCCAGTTGGTCCAGTGCGAGTTCCAAAACCGGTTGTGCGTCGCGGTCCGGTGGCAGAGGTGATGGTGCCAGCTTCAGCGGGGACAATGCCACAGCCGCTTGCCCGAAGCTCGCGACAAGGGGAATGCACTTTCTGGGTTGGACGGTTGGACATGGACATCTTGGAGTTTTGTTGCCTTTTGGATTCAGGGTTCGGGGGTTTCGAATGTAGGCTGCAGATGCGGGCGCGGCTCTTCTGCGACCCCACCTCACCCTGGTTTCACAGGGGCCGGGAAGGTGACAGAGTCCGATGCCTCAGAAGCCAGCCAGAGCACGGCATAAATGTATGCACGTACACGTATATACATATAAAGAACACGCCCTTCCCGCAGGACCAACAGTCGTTTTTTCGTCGTAAATTCCGTGAAAAGGGATTGTTTTAAAGAGCGCAGGACAGCTTTGCCGCTAACAACAATTTATTCGTTTTAATGGCCTGTGAGCAAAAACAGCATGTACACATGTGTACACATACACATACACACATACACACATACACACATACACGATGATGATGATGATGATGATGATGATGATGATGAATGCACACACATGTGTGTGTTGATTGTGCGCGAAGTTGTTTGTGTAAGCTACAAGAAGGCCCCTGGCTAGGGACCGAATATGCACACACCATGACTTCTGTAAGCTTTGCGGCCGCCCCAAAGCCGCAGACCGCCTCATAGCCCTTACTGAGCATTTGGGGCCCAGGCAGGAAGCCTGATTCATGTCGAGACTTGTGCTGCGTGATTGTTTGTGATGCAAAGGTCACGGTGCACAATGGCACCCAGTTGCATTTCCGAGGGCGACGTATTCGTGAAGCTTTTGCGCAGGAGCCACTTGAAGAGCGGGAGCAAGCAAGGTCCTGACGAGGGAGGGAGAGAGAGAGAGAGACTTGCTGCAGTAGGGTGGCCCTAACTGATGTCTCGCCCAATGTAGTTGCGAGGCCTGGGGAGCGACTGTGCTCCTTTCACCTATTCCTCTGGGGATGAAGAGTCATTAGGTGTATTTCGTCGGTACAAACAGGCTCGGTGCTCGTTCGCCTTCGGGCGTTGGCCGTTGGAAGGAAGGAAAGGAAGGAAGGAAGGCAGGAAGGAAGGAAGGAAGGAAAAGAGAGTCTGCAGGACCTCCTTCACAACCAGGGCCTGGCGAATGCGAGTGACTTGATCGTGTCGGGGTGCAGTGCCGGTGGTCTGGCAACATATCTTCACGTCGACCAATGGTGCGACTCGCTCCTTGTATTTAAACGAATCGTAAGCTCTGCAAAGAGAAACCGCCCTTCGGTTCCTTCTCCCTCGAGCCGATTCAAGGCTCCATGAAGCCCAGCCTTCTGCGAAATGTGCTGGCCTTCCAGACAGCGGGTTTTTCATCGACTACCAGGAGCGTCAGGGCATTTGGGGAGTCTGTGTGAGCACCCGCTGCAGATGCCAGCGGAGGTGCCCCAAGCCCAGAGGCCTCGTGGAAACCTTACACGGACCCCCTGCCGAATGTAGGGTAGGACAAATCCCATGGCCAGTGTAGTCCCACCTGGGGAAACTGCAGGACCCACAGGTACGCTGCTCCCCAGACAGCTCAGCGCCCTCGGTGCCGGGGGCTTTGGGAACTACCATCAATGGCGACTACCACTGCGGTTTGTGGTGGAGCCTTGGATTTGGGGGGCCAAACTGTGGGGCTTCTGGTCTGCACCGGCTAAGCTTAAAATGCGTTGCGATCTGTGAAAATTTGTCGCTGTCTTGCCACCTTGGAAACAGATTCCAGGACCTTTCACATTCAGAATGCCAGCTCTGGCGTCAATCAACGTTGCCTTGAGCAGCATGTGAAGGAGGCAGGGCTTCTAGATGCTTCGAGTGCGCTCTCCCCCAATACACTGACACAGGTCTGCAGGCGCAAGGAAGTCAGCCCCAGAAACTCCCTCGTACTCGTACTATCTCGTACAAGCGACAGTCCTAGCCATGAGAGAGCCTTGATCGGAGAAACATCGGCGTCGAGCAGAGTCCACTGTGTACGTCGTCTGCATGTAATGCGGTCAACATGAAGGAGTGGAGGTGCATGTTTGCAGAGTACGCGGCAGAGTTCCTTCGAACGCCAGTCTTTGCCTTGCAGTCCATGTATGCTCCTCAGCTGCGCTTCGAGCTTCTGTGTCGACACGCGATGACGAGGGCATGGGGCTAAAAGTTCACAGCGAAACAAGAGAGGGAGAGAAGAGGCGCGAACAGGGCTCTTGCCATCCATTTTGGCTCGACTCGAACCAGTTCCAAGCATTGGAGCAGCCCAACATCAACGCATCAAGAGCAGCTGATGGGTCGACCTGATGGAGGGGCGTTGTGTCTGTTGTTTCACTCAGCATTTCAGAAACATCACTCGCAAGTTCTTGTGTTGTATGAACTAGAGTCGTCCTTTCACCGGCTGGAGTTGAACAACTCCAATCACATCCGCGTGGATGTCGCCGCAACACCGTGTGTTCTAGCAGGATACGTGGACGTGCACGTGTGGGTACTGGTTGGCCAGCGCTCGGAAGGCATTGCAGTCAACTCAGTCAACGCATGGACTTTGGTCTGCGAGCATTTGCTGCTGAAAGGTCTGAGGCAGACTGCGTGTGTAGAGCTTTGCAGATCCGAACATGCCTAATGTCAAAGACCCAGAAACTGGGACCCTGGGCAGGTTTCAAGGGTGGGTGGGGCGCATCCGATGGCGACGTCGGGCAACACCGAAGAGAGGTGCCGCGTAGCACGTTATTGCTATTGTCAAAACCTATAAAGGTGTGGCGCTTAGTGAAACGCCACATCCCACACGGCAGCGCTGCCTGTCGAGCTGAGTGGCGGACCGCAGCGCACCAGTAAAACGCACCTTTCCCTTGACAAGTAGGGAAGAAAGAATGCGAGGGAAACAACAAAAGAGAGACGAGAGATCAGGGCAAGCGCATGTGTCTGCAATCACAGGGTGTTTGATGGCAAGGACTCATGGCAGACAACCCACGTGCAGGGGACCGGCGGCGTCAGCAAGACGGCAATCCTCGGCATGAACATCACTGAACGATTCTTGACACATACAATTTGAATGTTGGTCTTTCTGCTCACCTCTTGCTGCATGGCCCTCCGCGAGTGATTGGGTTGTTTCGGACCCTTTGGACGAAAGCCTGTCTGCCCAATGAACAAAGCTGCCCTGGCAGCCAGTTGATGTCTCGATGGGATGAGGTCTCAAGAACAAGTTGCTCGGCAAGAACCCCGAGTCCGGTGCCTTCTTGGACAGTTGCTTGCACCACTGTGGTGCCTGGAACTCCATTCGCATTGAGGGAGACTTGGTGGCCACTGCGGTGGAGACTCTTGGCGTCGGGATTCCTGCCTTAAACCCCGCGAAGGATATCGAACAGGCCAAGACCATTCTCAGCACCAAAGGGTGCCTGGGGCACAACTTTTCCTGGGGCTGGGAGAATGGCACTCAGGGAGCTCTCGACAGGGGGCCGGGAAGGAAGAAGAGAGCATGCTCGTGATGTCGATATTGTCAGAACACACAACTTGGGACATGAGAACCAGGCCACTCTAAGCTGGGTTGACGCCGTAATGATGACCTGGCAACTCGCCTGACCACAAAAAGGCCGATCAGATGCACACCTGCAAAAGCCTGCTATTGGCTGCCGAGCCTTGCAAGCGAGTTGTGACATCCCAGGAGGTGGTACTCCGGACTGGGACGTGCCGGGAGCAAGCGCCTGTGGAACCAGAACAGAAGCTACCCATGCCGTGACTGCATCTCGGCCCCCTTCTTCTGGAGGCTTCTAATAATAGGTTGATTTCTGAGTGTATAAATTCAGTTCCATGTGCTTCTTGATGTTTCTAGGGGAACGCTTAGGGCTTTCTGACGCTAGTGAAAGCTCCCGACTTCAGTTCAGGGCTTGTTGGGAAAGTTTCTCGATCGAGGCCTTGAATCTTCAGGGGCTTCGGATTGAGAATTCAGGGCACCAGACGAATCTGCACGCGAAGACACGGCCTGCAACGCTGGTTGGCGGAGCGCGCGCGCGCCGGCAAGTCGTTACCGCAGTCCCCGAGGCTGCCAGCCAGATGCAGATCCGGCTCCGCTCCTGGTTGTGTGAGACTGGAAGAGTCGAGACTCCGATTGAGCTTAGCTAGGATTTGGAAGCAGTTTGGAAGCCTTCAGAAAAACAAAAAGCAACAGAACAGGTGGTGCTTCGCACCCGCATCGCACTTTGAAGAGCTTGCGGATGCAAAAAAGGGGCGACGATCTTCCTCTTGCACAGCCTAAGGCCTCAGGGCACAAGAGCGTTGACTCGCAGAACCCTAAACCCTAAAGAATGCAAGTGCCTGCAAGAGGGCTCAATTGGGCATTTGCTAGCCTGAGCTAGCCAACCCGACTTTGGTGTTGAGCGCACGCATGCACAAGAAATGTATGGGAGCCACAGCCGCATAGCTTTAACTTCTTGCTAAAATCTTGTCCGGCGTGCATGAATAGGGAGAAAAGAGTCATTAACACAGCATGCAAAGAGCTTGAAGAGGTGTGACGAAACCTTGCCTCGGCGTTGGTTGAGTTTCCATATTGGCTGAGCCTTCGCGATTCCTTCGCGATGGTTTGCGCAGGAGCTCTCAGCAGCGCAACCTGCCCCGGTACAGATGTAAGTTTAACTGCACCAGGCTACTTCACTCAACCTCGCCCAGAGCCTCGCCCAGAGAAAACGCCAGCACAAAGCTTCATAACATGCTGTCAGGAGACTGAGTTGCAGCAGGACAAGGCTACTAGCATAAGCTTGTCAACAACACGAAGAGAAGGGTACCCCAAGTCGATGAGTCGAAGTGTCTGCTGTCAACACGCATGTTTTGGCCGCTTCATGTCGGCTCTCATCCTCCGCCCAGCGTCCACACCTGCTGTTGGGTCTAAGGCCGAGACCAGCCCCAGATGAACTGTGCTTCGAGTTGGTGCCCGGCTTGCGGTTTAGGGTTTAGGGTTTAGGGTTTGTTTAGGAATCCAGGGCGAGGCATTGCGTTTCAGGGTGCGGTCAGAGTGGACCGAAGCATCTTAGGGCTCCGGATAAGCGTGTTAAACGATGAACTATAGGATTTAGTGTTTAAGCAGGCATTTCTTTTTAAAATTAGCTCAGAGGGTTGAGGTTTCAGGAACCTTAAACCCCAAACCCTGAGCCTTCAATCTGAAAAAGCGGACACGGGTAGTAAGGATCCTGAGGTTCCATGGAGTTGATCCTCAAGGCTTGGGATATAGGCTTGGGGTTTCGGGTTTCAGGATTCTAGGGTTTCAGGATTTTAGGGTTTAGGGAATTTAGGGTTTGAGTTTCAATGGTTCAAGGATTCTAGGGTTCAGGGTTCAAGGATTCCAGGGCTTTGACATGTTTAGAGGGCTCAAGGATGGTCAGACAGTTGGCTGATAACCCGAGGTGCGAAACACCTTCATTGCCCGCGCCCGAGCGCTCATATCTTTTTCTTGGCACCACCTTAGGTTTAATCTTTGGGGGTTTGGAGTTTAGGGTTTGGGGTTTGGGGTTTAGGGATTAGGGTTTGGGGTTTAGGGTTTCGGGTTCATTTCAATAAGCCCCCCACCCCACCCAACCCACCCCCAACTTGGGTCAAAACAAAGAGGGTCAGGGGCAAGGTGCTTTTGGCGGGGCCCTTCAGATTAGAGATTCTGAGTTTGGAGGCTGGGAAAGTTACTAGTTCAAGTAATCATTGCCCTGAGACGCTCAGCCAGCTGTGCAGAAGCCAAGCACTCACTCTCTCTGTCTCTCTGTCTGCCATACTGTCTCTTCTCAGCTGAAAAGAGAGCTTATCAAAACTGCTTCTGTTACGGGTCTAGTCGTCGGAATTTCGGAAAAGAATTTCATCCACCCCCTCATGCATACCTTCCCCGCCCTCCTTCGGGCCGGCATCCTCAACTACAGCCCTAAACCTCCAAAAAGCCCTCAGCCTAAAACCCAACAAGCAAGCCATGGGCCCGCCTCCCAGAAGCACGAAACCCTGAAACCCGAAGCCTTAAGCTTCCAAGGACCAGATCCCGGGTACTCCCAGCCCCGCAAATGGGGCCGAGCGCCAGGCGCCGTGCGCCCCCCAAAACCCAAAAACCCTCCTTGGAGGTTCATGGGCAGTTATAGCTGGGGTTTCGGGTTTCATGGGCAATTGGTCACTACGACACGGTGGCTTCTTGCATACCGGGTGGGGGGGGCGGGACACTGAGTACCTGCCGTGTTGTTCGGGCTGAGCTACTTGCTACCAAGCTGCAGGTAAAGAGAGTGACCGGGTAGGGTTGTTGAACATTTGCTTGGAGTAATATGTTGGAGTTCAGCAAATGTCTATAAGGGCTTAAGGGAGTGAGTGAGTTAGCTAGTGTGTGGTCTCTCTCAGGGGGCAGGGAGGTGTTTGGCGGTCTTCGGGTCGGTTCCCTAAATCATGCCAAGGATCCTTTGTATGATGTTGGGAGTATTCCTCAAGGGTTTTTGGAGTCTCTGGGTGATAGACGCGCCCTTAGTGGATAGTGTCCTGAAGGAGTGGTCCAAAGGGCCTGATATGTCCGAACCCCCTAAGGCCACCTTGCTGCTCCCAAAGATTCCCTGAGTGCCTCCCTTCAGGACCTTATAATTCAAGGACTACGGTAGGGTATGTGAAGTTTCTGAAGTCTGGAAGGTCTGGTCCAAATCCAAACCGGCAGTGGTTGCAGGATTGCATGACGGAAAGATGCTTGTTTTTGGCGGGGGGGTTGTCGCGGTCCTGGCTCTTCACATGTTTGTCTTGCCTCCTGCGAAGCCTTTTCGTGGTTGCAGAACGGAGTCCCACCGACGGGTTGGGCCTTGCCCCCATGGCTTCGGTCGCTTACAAGGACTTCCTCAAAGACGTCCTGGGAGGAGTGCCTAGGGGGAGGGGGGTCAGGGGGCGGTTCGCGTTTGGTTGGGGGTTGACAGTTTTGGTTTGTGTTCAGAGCTGATGTTGGGGGTCTGTGCGATGTGACTGGGATCTTTTTCGATCTTTTTAATTCTCGTGTCCGTGGGTGTTTGGGCGCTTGACTGGCCTTCCTGCTTGCGGCGAGGCGCTGCAGATGAGATCGAGGAACGCGACGAGAAGTTGCTCGGACAAAACTGCGACATCTTCGCAATTCCTGAGGACAAGGAGGCCTCGCATCGAATGCTGGGTCTTTTTCAACGTCATGAGCCCTCATCCTTAGAGGTGAGCACCCTAAACCCTGAACCCTAAACCCTAAACCCTAAACCCTAAACCCTAAACCTGGCAAAGCTACTTACCCAGTCCCCTGAATCCACGCGGCCTGTGACGGATGTCGTACGTTGTTCAACTTGCGGTCCCGCTTCGGGTCCCTGATGGCATGACCTGAAAGAGGGGCTTAAGAGGGGCTTAAGAGGGGCTACTGCATGCTATTCTATTATGTTTTAAGTTCTATCTTCTATCCTCTATTCTATTCTATTCTGTTCTGTTCTGTTCTGTGGTGCTCTATTGCATTCTGTGCTGCTCTATTCTGTTCGGCTATATCTATCTCGCTGATCCTCCAATCTTCAAGCTGGAAGCTTTCCTGCGCTTCAATTTGAGAGAGATCCCCAAACGTCGAATCCTCAAAATAAACCAGAAGCTGTATCAGACCACACTGCGCCTGCAAATTCCAGAGCCCTAGTTCCGAGGAATGCCCAGAACTTTATAATCCCCACAGAACTGTATTCGACTATCATCCGAGCCCTTTCATCCTTGCATGTCTGTAGTGTAGCATAGTGATGATGAGGACTTCTATTCTTCCCCCGTGGCCCTGCAAGGATTCCAATGAGGAGGAGGAAAAGATGGAGGACAAAGCAGGAGAGACTGTGCCTCTTGGAAGCACCGGGTCGCTGCCTTCGAGGGTTGGGGCCGAAAAAGTTCGTAGTAGTATACCCCCTACAGTCTCATAGAACTGTACATCATCGTAATGACTGTAAATAATATTCCCTTGCAGCCCCTATGTACGGATACCATAATGTATCCCATCAGAAGATTTCTGGGGTGTCAGGATCCATCGGCCCGTGCCATGACGATAGAAGGTAGCATGTGGCATCACATCGAGCATGTTCTAGACTACGGCATCACCGCAAACGTACGGCATCACCGCAAACGCGTCTGAGATGACTCTCCGATCATTCCATCACATGGAGCAATGCCGCATAGCATCATTTTGCAGTACATCATATCTTATTAGCTCTCTCGTGCTGCATCACAAATCAAAGAATAGAGATGTCATTTATGTGATTCTTTTTCGAGACATTATTACATGAAACCTGTTGTCTTTCATGTCATGTCATACCAATTATGTTTCGCCATATCATATAATTTCAGAGGACGGTATGGATACTCACGGCACACAACAGTCCTGAAGTAGGGGCCCCGTTTGGAGTCAATTTGGGACTGAGGTGCTTCGCGATGGATTCCTCAGATGACGACAACGATTCGGACGTAGACTCCGAAGAGTGGGACCTGGAGGACGGCAGAGGTCATTGAGCTTGAGGCGGCGTAGTGCCCTCGCGGGATGAAGTATCGTCACGATGCCCCATTGCATGATATGACATGTTGCATTGAGTGGTTCTGGGTTCTAGGTGCTCTACACCAAACCTATTCTGTCTGTCCTGTTCCATTCAGTGCTATTGTGCTGCAAGAGTTGCAGATCTGCTGGAGCACTTGGGGTCCTATCTAGGCTTCCATGAACGAGGGCCCGGTGCGAGTGAAAACCGTGGTCCCCCTTTCATGCTCAATGTTGGAGGCATTGCAATACAGGCCGACAAAACAATTCTTGATATGTCGGCTGCGAAGGACGCGTATAACTTTGATCCGGAGCGCGTTGCGGAGCTCTTGAAGAATCCAGACGTTTCGGAGGAGGACCTGGTGGCTTCTCAGCGGCAGAATCGGAGCCCTCGTCTCGGTGCCTTCCATGACGGGTTCCCTCCATCATTTCAGGCCTTGGGTTGGGTGATGTTGGGTGGAGGTGGGGGGCGTCTGATTTCGAGGCCTTCGTGCTGTGAGGTTCGCCTTGTGGCACTTTGCAAGGCCTCCAGGACCCGTGGTCCACTGGCCATAGGGCGCTCCGCATTCCTGAAGGCCAGAGGATCTAGGCACGGGGATGCGTGCAGCTATGACCCAGGCTTGCATGCCTGGAATGCATAGTGGTGCATGGACCTGACTTATGGCTTGATTGCATATGCAGACACGCTGGGTAGGTAGGTAACTACAAGTGCATGTGCATGCAGGCACCTCTGGGCGCGTCCTCTGGGCGCGTGTACGTATGCATGCCTGAATACCCGAGTATGCTGCCGTATGCGCGCAGGTGTGGAGGCGTGTGTGGGTGTGTGTGGGCATGTGTGCTGTGCCCATGGGGTTTGCGCACCTCCTGCAAAGGGGCATGTGTGTGCATGAACTTGCGCACATGCACAGGTACGTGCCCACGCAAACGTGCACCTAAGTTGTGCACTGCCCTACGATCCACATCCGGAGAGTCTGGCCGTTGGCTCCTCATGTAGACCGCAGCCCGCTGGTCCAAGGAATCGCTTCAGGAGACCATGGCCGAGGCGAAGAGCACTCTTGGGGGGATAGAGTGATAGAGCGTAGTGTGTTTTGAGGGGTTGGTTATGGTTGGTTCAGGGTTCATGTTCCAAGTCAGGGCTTGGGGCTAAGAGTAGCCGTGGGCTTGGCTTCCCAGGTCTCACATGTCTTCGTGGGGCCGGGTAGGTGAGTTGCAGCGGCTGTAAACTTTGTACACTTTTGGCCCTGAGCCCCCGAGCCCCACCACCTCAACTTAAAGCCGACTAGGGCCTTAGGGGCCAGTCTGGCACACTTTGGTGATTTTTGCCTGCTACCACTGGGGGCCCTGTTAGGGCTCAAGGGAAGCGGGGCAAGATGTTGCGTCAAGGGAGTTAAGGGGATGCAAAGCTCAGGATTTGCTGTCCAGCGGCATAGGTCATGCAGTTCAGCAAAGTGAGTACATGAACCAAACCCCGAACCGGAAGCCCCTTCCTGTGTGGGAGGGTCTCAGGGTTAGGGCTCAGGGTGTGGGGCCCAGATGAAGTCTTTTGGAAGAGGGCCCAGGGTGTAGCTGGGGAACGCACCCAGAAACCTTGAGTCCCGAAGCCCAAGGCAGACATATATATATATATATAAGTATATGTATATATATATATATGTATCTATACATATACATACATGCAAATATTTTTATGTATGTATCAAACACATATAAAGATAAATATGAATATAAAGATAAATATAAATATATACATATATATATACAGATATATATGTATATGTATACGTAGAGCGCCAGGGCTTGTTTGGGGCAGGCGATGATCCTGCGGATGACCGCGGAGGACCCGGATGTGGAGGCCTCGCGCCACCTTGCTGCAGCAAGGCTACGGCTTCGGCCTCTGGGGCTCAGGCCCTAAACCCTAAACCCTAAACCCTAAGCCCTAAGCCCTAAACCCTAACCCCTAAACCCTAAACTCCTAAACCCTAAACCCTAAACCCTAAACCCTAAACCCTAAACCCTAAATCCTAAACCCAAACCCTAAACCCTAAACCCTAAACCCTAAACCCTAAACCCTAAACCCTAAACCCTAAACCCTTAACCCTTAACCCTTAACCCTTAACCCTTAACCCTTAACCCTTAACCCTTAACCCTTAACCCTTAACCCTTAACCCTTAACCCTAACCCTAAACCCTAAAGCCTAAACCCTAAACCCTAGACCCCAAACCGTAAACCCTAAACCTCCCCCTTCTGGCCCAGTCCAAGCCCAGAGGCCCAGCAAAGCCTTCATCCCTTCCTCGCTCCAGGCCTCGCCGGGCCGACAAGGGCCATCGTTTCCACCCTTTCGTCTTGGGGTTGAGGTCCTAGGTTTCGGATTTGGGTTGCTTTTTCCTTTGGGTCGCTTGGTGAGGCCCGACCTGCCAAGAAGACATCAGCGGCCTCATGACGCCTCCGGCGCAGCCGGCCACCTTCGATGCGACGCCTGGGCTTTGTTGGGTCTCCTTGCATCTTTGGGCTGTAAGAGCCGTCTCTCCGAGTTGGCTTTGCACAATGGGAGCCCCTAAACCCTAAACCCTAAACCCTAAACCCTAAACCCTAAACCCTAAACCCTAAACCCTAAACCCTAAACCCTAAACCCTAAACCCTAAACCCTAAACCCTAAACCCTAAACCCAGCAAGCCCTGAAAGGCCCTCCTTTAAAGGCTTGAATGCTGTTCACCGAGGACGACGCCGGACCCCAAGGAGCTCTCCAAAAAGCTGGAGCAGGCCGGCTTCGGGCTCATTGCCTTGACAAGGGGGGGTTCGATCCCTTCCTTGTTAGGGTTGAGGGTTTAGGGTTTAGGGGTTAGGGTTTGGGGGAGCATGGGAAAGAGCTTCCTTTGACAGGTGCCCGGCCGAGTCAGACGATCCTCCATCAATCGACGCGGGGCCCTGGATGACGTGGCGAAGTCGGCCGTCAAGAACCATCGGCTCCTGGGCATAGAGCTTACTGGTATGAACATAGGTGCAACTATAGTGAGTCAGTTCAACCCATGCAGGAGCCGCGTGATAGCGAAGGGGGATCCAGAGAACAGACTTCGGCTACTAGAAGTAGCAACAGTGAAGCTCGGTCTACTTTCTGCGTCATGGGACGTCTCATTGGTAGGAGATCCTGCTCCTTTGAGCCCCCTAACAGGGGGGGGGCGGGACGCCCTTGAGATAAGTCTAGAAGACGGGTCATAGGCGGACCGTGGCGTGTTTTTTTCAGAAGCCTTCCCTTTCCTCGAGTCTGGCCAAGGAAGAGTATCGCTTGCATCGCCTCAGCCAAGATGGGCAGTGACGAAGGCAACAAGGACCCACGCGGCAACTGGGAGGGAGCGAGCCCAAGATCAGCTCTGTAACATCCCTCAACTCGAGATGATGGCAGTGAGGGGCATATCTCAGCCTCAACCAAGCTGCGTGGCAGGATAAGATCCAGCAGGCGCTCACGAACTCTAAGAAGCGCCACCGGATGAGCATGTGCAAAGCCGTGGAGATGCTCGACCTCGCAGGCCCGCAGCTAGAACACACGTCAGCGGAGTGCGTGTGCGTGGGCAGTCCCAAAGTGTGCAGGCTTCGTAGCCAGGGGCTCACGTGCCCGACCACACGCGCAGGTCCCCTTTTTTGGAGATCCCAGTCCCTGTGATTCAGGATTCAGGGATGAAGAGGACAAGGAAGTCGTCAGCAACAAGCTGGAGACGCTGCAGAAGCAGCCCGGCACATCCAGGACCCCCTTTCCCTACTCAGAGACAGGATTTCCCCTACCCTTTGTGTTTCGGCAGACCAGGTCTTTAGACCATGTAATGCACCGGTTTTCGCTTTCAGTTCCCTGGGACTGCAGAAGCAGAGCGCATTCCTAATTGCCCTGAAGATTGTCCCCTTGTCAACTTGTTCTGCGATGTTCCCCTGCAGCACGAGCTAGACATTGGTGAGGTCGATTCCTGGGGTTATTTGCTCAACACGGAGCTTTGCCTTGCATTGCGAAAGCAAAACGGTGCAAACCCTGTTGGCCTTGGTACCCCTCCCCTTTCCTCAGAATGAGCCGCAGCCTAGTCGTCCAGCCGAGTAGCTGCAAGACCAACATCCTTGGGGCTCTTCACACAACAACAGGAGCAAAGTCGCAATCCCCAAGTTGGCAGCATTGAGCTTCCACTGTCCCTTCTACCATGTCACTCGAAGCTTGGGCCCCTGCCATAGCTTTGAGGTGCGTCCTCAAAGCCAGGGCGCTGCATCGCCAGACAGTGGCCAAGGCTCTGAGTCGAGGGGGCTTGGGGGCCTGGGCTAGCAGGTTTGGGGAGCCTCAAGACCTTGCTCCATCTCCAACATCCGGTTCAACGGTTCAACGTGTCTCCGCAGCCGCAGTGTGACAGTGTGACACGCAAACCAAACCACCAGCAAACTCCCAAGCCCTTGCAAGTACCTGAACCCTAAACCCCTAAACCACTGGGCTTCTCCTGGCTTCTCTCCTCCCTGGACAGGTTGCCCTCGAGACGGTTGGTGGGGACTTGCTGCCGGCCTCCGAGCTCGCCAAGGCGGGCGAGGCGCCCGGGGGGGAGGGTGGTGGGTTTAGGGTCTGAGAAAAAGGGGTGAAAAAGGGGGGGTGAAATTGGGGTTTAGGGGTTGAGGGGTTTGTGGCGAATGGGGGTTTGTTCTTCCCAAGCAGCTTTTGGATGACCAAGCGTGCCCCCCCAGACCCCTACCTCCGAACTGTTGTGATTTGATATGTTCTGGAGCCTCTAAACTCTAAACCCCCAAACCGTCCCTAACCCCAAACCTAGAACGAAGCTTCAAAGTGCCACTCCCCAACCCTGGGGGCCCCCTCATCTTCGGCACAGGGCACTGCGGAGGCCTCCAAGGACGGCAATGCCAAGGCCTCCAGCTCCGCAGAAGCTCGGCCAGGGGTGGTTTAGAGGTTGAGGGTTGCTGGGAGGTTTGGAGGGCCCGGCTTAAGGGGTAAGGCTAAGGGATGAAAGGGAAGTTTAGGATTTTTGGTTTGGGGCTTATGGGTGTATAGGGCTTGGTTCTGGAGTTTGGGCTTTGGGTGCCGGGTGCTTTGGGATGCCCGGAGATGTCGATGTACGTGTTCAGGGTCATCCAGTTCAGTTTCAAGGAGATTGAGGTCATCATGAACTCCTCTTTAGTGGTAGAATCAGAAAAAGAAGAAGAAGTAGTGGCAGTCGTCGTCATCGTGGTGGTAGTCGTGGTGGTGTTGGTGTTGTTCTGCAAACAGACACACGCTATGACTATCAGAATCCACAGCATGCGCCTCACTCGCTCAGGAGAAGCCCAGGGTCATCAGCAACCTCTCTGCGTCTGCGCGGGAGTTCAAGCCGGGGGCCCTACATTCGGCTGTGAGGCTTAGTGTTTTGGGGTGAAGAGCCTTGGTCTGGATTCCTGTTTTTGGGAATTGAGCTTTCCGTCTCTGTTACCTCTGAGCCCGAGCTTCAGGCCCTCGGCAAAGCAGGAGAGCATCGAGCAGAAGATCAAGAATGCGGTGAAGGCCGCGCACCAGCGCGCCCAGAAAGAGCAGGGGACCGTCGAGCCACCACCCCGAGGCTGGCGGTAGCTACTTCTCTGCTACTGCTACTGCTACCGCTACTGCTACCGCTACTGCTACTCCTGCTGCTCCTGCTGCTGCTGCTGCTGCTGCTGTTGTATTTTGCCGCGAATACTTTCGAAAAAGAGACATGTCTATGTCACAGATTTTTTTTGGCTTTCGAGTCGAGGGGCGGGTGTTTTGCATGGTTCCCTGAGTTTAGGGTTTCGGGTTTTAAGGGGTTGAGTTCTTTGGGCTGAACCAACTTCCGCAGCCGCCGTATCTCAACGGCAGCACGTGTCCGGCAGCTCTTGACGCGATGATCGGTGCCATTGCACGCGATGCATCTATGAACCTGCTTCCCCATCTTGAGCAGGTTCTGCGGCAAATTATGTAAAAATACTTCGTGAAGCACGCGCTGCACTAAACGATGGATGCCCCCGTAGCGTGGACCGTGCCCTGGCCAATGGATGCGCTTGTGCCACAGACGATGCCTGATCATGCGAAACGCAATGGATGCCTGGTCGCACGGATCCCGCGCAACGCAGTGGATGCCCGCGTAGCACGGATGTTATCACCCCAAGAAAAAACACCGCAAACCACCCACACGACGAGCAACAACACCGCAAATACGGATGTTTGCAGCATGGACGTCATCATCCGGAAACCTACGTTTTTAACCCCCCCCTCCCCCCTACTCCTACTCCTAGTCCTAGTCCTACTCTACTCCTTCTTCTTGTTTAAGGTTCCTCGGGGAGGTGTGAGGGTTTGGGGTTGGGCCCTTGCGGGTTCTTTCCAACATGGGAAGCTGAAGTACATGCCGCGAAGTGGGTGAAGTTGTTTCTGACCCTACGCCCTCTAACCACCCCCCCCCACCCCCCCACAAGCTCTGCGAGGCTATGATGAATGGGGCAACCCCTATGCACAGGGCTGGGGGTCGCATTACCAGCAGTGCGACTACGGCTACGTGCAGGGCTATGACCAGGGCTACAACACTGGCTACAACCAGATGTACAGCCAAGGATGCGGCCAGGCCTCAGTCCTGCCCTGAGGGTTTGGGGTTGAAGGCATTTGGAGCTTGGCGACCATCTGTCTGGGCATTGCCTTTTCTCGAAGCCTGTCAGTTGATGTAGAGTCAATGTAGAGGCAGCAATGCAGGTTCCTTCGTAGAGCAAGTCTTGTCCGGTGAGAGTTTGTGTGTGTCTGGAATCGCGCGGAGGCTTACGACCCAACCTGGAACAATGGCTGCGGCTATGCGCAGGCGGGCCTTGAAGTACTATGCCTGCTGCCCTGCAACGTTTTCAAAATTCTGGGCCACCTTGCGTGATGAAATTGTGTCCCCGTGCCCGACGTGTGCATTTCGTCCTGCGTGCCCTGCGCCCTCGCCCCGTGCATCTTAACCGGAAGAGCTCGAGCTGATGCGCGCAGGGCAGCCCGCCATGGCAGCAGATGCCGCAGCAGCAGAACTGGATGCAGGCGCCGCCTTGCTGTCAGAGCGATGTCCATGCCGCCCAGCCCCCTCACCTCGAAACATGAACTTACAGGCGGGCAGACCTCTTGGCTCGAGTGTATGCGGACATTGCACAACATGTATGCTGAGAGTCACCCCGGACCTGGGAAACCCGGACCTGGGAAACTCTGAGCCACCCTCAAAACTGGGGCGTCGTGACGCTGATGTTCCTGCAGGGCAATCCTGGGCAGAACTGCTGGATGACACCAGAAGGACACCGGGCTCACACAAGCTGCATGGTGTTGCAGACGAGCACCCTGTGATGGGGCGATCTTTTGAGCTCGCTTGGGCAGTTTTCTAGTTTTCTGGCGTTTGATACCTTACACCTCCAGCCGTTTCGATACTGGGTTGGAAGGGGGTATATGCGTATGTACATGCATGCGCAGACGCATGATGTGTAATCTGATCCTCGACCCTTCAGGAGCTCAGGCGGCGTATGGGTCCAACTGCTACAACTACTACGGGGGCAACTACGCCGGCTATGGCAGCCGGGCTTGAAGGGCATTGGGGGGTTCAAGGTGAAGGGTTTAGGGTTCAGATGGGTTGAGGGTTTAAGGTTGAAGGTATTGGGGAAAGGTTGCTAGGCCTTGGAGGACTTGATGCGATTTTTTTGAGGTCTCCTTGGATGTTTTGGGGCAGTTCAGGGGACTTCGGGTTGTGAGGGCTGCCTCTTCGAGGTGTTCGTTTCAAGGGTCTCCTAAACCCTTATAAACCCTAAACCCTAAATCCTAAATCCTAAACCCTAAACCCTAAACCATGAAACGGATCTATACACCAAGATCCCCTTTCGCGGCCCTACGTCGGTCTGCGTCTCGCTTCCGAGGCCAGAGTCAGCAGCCTTCCTACGGAGGCGGGCTGAGAATCCACGGGCTCCGCCGGAAGACGGAGGGTTCAGTCGGGGTTTACAGGATTGGGAGATTTTCTAGTATTTGTAGTCTTTGTAGTCTTTGGGATGTTCGGGATGTTTGGGATGTTTGGGATGTTTGGGATGTTTGGGATGTTTGGGATGTTTGGGATGTTTGGGATGTTTGGGATGTTTGGGATGTTTGGGATGTTTGGGATGTTTGGGATGTTTGGGATGTTTGGAATGTTTGGGATGTTTGGGATGTTTGGGATGTTTGGGATGTTTGGGATGTTTGGGATGTTTGGGGGCTGAGAATTGAGGAAGACTCCAGGAGCACTGTCCTAGTGGCACCGAGGCGAGGCGTACTCAGGGCTTCAGGGTTCAGGCTTTCAGGGGAGGGGGATCTCGAGTCTGGTCTCTTCTCGTTGAGTGGACCATTAAAGGCATTAGAGCTTGAGCTCCCGCACTTGATGGTCGTGCCGCACCTTTGCAACGATTTGGATTCGGCTGCTGCCCCCTGGGGGCCGTTATTGGGGGTTTAGGGTTTAGGGATGTTTAGGGTTTAAGGTTTAGGGTTTAGGGTTTAGGGTTTAGGGTTCCTGAACTCTGAGCCTGGAGGAACCAAGCCTCAGAAGCCTCAGCTCTCCGCGCTGAGGGCCACCTTGGCAAAACGCTGCCTGGGGATCCGCTTAGAGGAGGCCCAGATTGGGGTTGGCCAAGAGGGTCTTGGGCTAGAGGGGCTTGTTGGCCAGAGTCGATGGTTTAAGTCTTGCCTGGGGCTTCAAAGGCTGCCTCGTCATCGTCTTTGGATCGGCAGCTCCAACTTTAAAGGTTCGCTGCAAAGGCTCGAATCATGAGGCTCCAGGCAGGAGGCAAGGGGGCAAAATTTCATACCCCACCAGACCCGAGCACCTTTCCGATTCCCATTATATACTGCTAGGATGGAGTATCATTGGTATCATGGTGGGAAAATGGGTTGTCATGCTACGAGAGGCCAAAGAGGGATGAAGGCTTCAGCTGGAGCCTTACGCGGAAGCAGCTCCTAGAAAGGAGGACTTCGCAGGATTACCGAGCTATCACTTCTGTGTGCTGCTGGTGGCGGTTGCTGCGCAGACATGGGTCGTACCCTGTGTTTCCAGGCATGAGATCAAGACACTCTCTCCTCAAAGTGGGGTCTTCAATCGATCCCTCCAAACCGCTCAATGAATCAATGAAACATGAACCCCCCCCCCAAAGTCCCCAATGTCCCCAAAGCCCCCGAGTTTGAGGCATCCCTGTGAGCTGCGCACGGATGGAATGAGTGTGGCCGTCGCGGAGGTTAGCCGCTTCAAGCCATGGGTGTGGTGTTCAGGTAGGCTCTGGGGTCAAGGGCTTTTGGGGCTTTAGGCTTTGGAGGTTTGGGGAATTTCAGGGCTTTGATGGTTCAGAGTTCGGGGTTGGTTTAGGATTTGTGGTGTAGGTCTTCATCCTTCCCTCTGTGAGCCAAAACCCTCCCTTCCATGAGCCGGACCCCAAAGCCCTTTGAGCCCTAAGCCCAAACGCCCCAAACCCCCCAAAGCACCAGGCAGTTTGCTACCCTCCGGCTGCCAATGTCAATGACTTCAATTTTGTCAATGCTTTCCTGCTCCGGATGGGCAGCTGTCAAAGACTTTAAGATCTCAGTACGGCTTCTTGTCATTGCGCTTCTAGGGCTCGGGGCTGAAACCCTTAATTCGAGCGAGCCGAGGCTTTAGATTCTCTAACTTGGGAGCCCAAATGTCCGAGCTGCCGGATCGTCAAGTGATGCCGGGCTCTGTTTGACAGCTGCCCAGCCAGTCCCTCAGACTCCCGTAGAGAGGACCAGGCACCAAGACGCTAAGCCCTTAAACTCCAACCCCAAGCCCCCAAACCCTCCTCCCCCTGACCCCCCATAAGCCCCTGAACCCTGAACCCTGAACCCTAAACCCTAAACCCTAAACCCTAACAGAAAGCTTGCCGTTCTCACGGGCTGAGCGGAACTCTGGCGCTGGACAAAGCTTCCAGCAAACTCGCAGAGTTGAGCTTACAAAAGGCTGCAAGCAAGCACTGTGAGTTAGCGGGTGGGTGTGGGGTTCAGGGTGCAGGGTTTAGGGTTGGGGGGCTTGATTTGGGGGCCAACTTCATAACGGATCCAGCGGGTTTCAGTAAAGCCCAGGCCAGGGCGGAGGGGTTTTGGGGGAGTGGTCGTTTCCTTATTCTAGCAGGAAAAAGAAAGTTCTTCCCTTTTCCCCCTTGGTCATTGGACAAGTAAGTTTCCAACTCCGTCCCAGCTTGTAATGAGCCGCAAGCGGCGAGGGCTGCCGACGCGGCGGCCCTGAAGTTGTCCGAACAGGGCCCTTTAGTGGGAGAAAGAATCTCCCCCAAACCCTACACCCCGAACCCTAAACCCTAAACCTAAACCCTAAACCCTAAACCCTAGACCCTAAAACAGGGCCGTGTATAGGGTGAAAGAATCTCTAGTCCTATGCAGCGCAACGAGAAGCTCAGAGGCGACGCCCCCAAGGGGTGCCTGAAGTTCAAGCAACCTAGGGTTTAGGGTTTAGGGTTTAAGGTTTAGGGTTGGGGTTTAGGGTTTAGGGTTTGGGGTTTAGGGTTTAGGGTTTAGGGTTTAGGGTTTAGGGTTTAGGGTTTAGGGTTTAGGGTTTAGGGTTTAGGGTGAAAGACCCAAGGGGCAGCTTGTACTCTACGAACAAGCCGGAAGGGCCTAGTTCTGGGACGGGACGAAAGAACTCCATCATTTTTAGACCTCGAAGCCCTAAACCTTAAACCCTAAACCCTAAACCCTAAACCCCAAACCCTCCAACCCAGACTTCGGCGTTTGGCACCCCACATGCGGCAGGCTTGCTCCTGCGGCGGAGAATGCCGTGCTCATTTCGGGTTCAGGGTTCAGCGCGCAGCCCAAGACTGAATCAAGGCGGCCGGGGCGCCTGCATCAGGGTTTGGCGGCCCTGGGGCACCCTGAACCCTAAACCCTAAACCCTAAACCCTAAACCCTAAACCCTAAACCCTAAACCCTAAACCCTAAACCCTAAACCCTAACCCCAAGCAGAACCTCGTGGTGACACGTGGAGCCAGCTGGAAGTTCCCAGGAAGCCCGCCCCACCTTCGGGGCAAAAGGGACCGCATGTTGAAGAGCCAGGTCCTCGAGTCCTCAACCCGAAACTCCCCCCCGGCCCTACCCTGGCCCCCATGAGCCGGGGTTGAGGGTTGATGTTGAATGCGCAGTAATATTTTTGCGCCAGAACCCTTCTATGGCCCTCTACAAGCCCCTAAGCCCTAGGAGTTTGCTTCTTGAGTTAAGCCTTAAGGGGCTTTCAGGTACCTTTTTAGCTTTGCTGCTTTTTCTTAACTTTCTAGAACAAGGAATCTCTTTTCTGCAGGGGAGTAGAGTAAAGAGCCCCCAACTCCACGCCAACCCCAGAGAGGTACCCTCAAACTACTGCAAGTCCTTCCTATTGTTATTCACCATTATTTTGTGATTGTTGTTGTTATTACTGTTGCTGTCATCATTATTGTTATTATCATGACACACACTCTGATTTGCAAGACCCTGCTATCGTTTAAGGGTTCCTTACCGAATGACGGGGGCCTCCTAAACCCTAAGCCCCGGGGCTACAGGCGAAATTCCGCTCCCGATTCCTCGTTCGGCCATCGCCGAGGAGTGGCTTGGGGGGGTCTGATTCCTCAACCGTTCTAGGGGTTCAGGGTTCAGGGTTTGGGGTTTAGGGTTTAGGGTTTAGGGTTTGGGGTTTAGGGTTTCGTGAGTCATTTACCTGCTAGCTTTTTTGGCTTCTGCCCGTATGTAGGGGGTTGAAAACCTGCAATTTTGCAGGGCCTTGGGGTTGGGTTTGGGGTTTAGGGTTTTGGAGTTTCTCCTTGACTTATCGGCCACGACGACAGTATTGAGTTCTGAGAACCCAGACTTTGGGTTTGGGGTTTAGGGTTTCGGGTTCGCAACTTTAAACGAGATTCGGTTGGAAGGTCCCATCCGCCGTGAAGCAACGAACCCCAGCATCCTGGAAATCTTAGCCCTCGAACCCCCCACTTATTGCGCCCAAACCATATGCAGCAAACCTACACTAGAGCGTAATGCGAACCCTGAACCCCGAACCTGCGACCAGAGCGCGTGTGGATGTCCTGAAGGCACAATACTCGTCTTAAAAAACTCCTTTTTTTTTGCAGTCATAGCAAACTGAAGGGCCCAAATCCCTCTCGAACCTTTGAACCCGAAGCACGAAGCTCCAAAAGCCAGAAGCCTAAGCCCTTAAAGGGACCTTCACCTCCAAAAGTTGAAGAGAGCCCAAGCCCTAAAACCCCGAAACTCGAGGTTTCGTGTCATCTTGCCCAAGCAGAATTGGACGCCTACTCTGTGTTTTGTTGCAGGGTTGACTGTTGAGGGCTTAGGGTTTGACGCTTCGGCTTCAGGGTTGTGGCATGTCCAGTGGGTTCTTTTCTGGAGATGAGTTGGCAAGCTGTCAAGACTTTGTTTGCTGAGTTTTCGTTCTCACAGAGTTTGCACACCTGGTGTCCGAAACTTTGCAGACAAGTCTTCAGGCCAGGAGGAACCCGAGCCGACACTAGCACGCAAGACAGCAAATCCTTACGTTTACGGTTTAGGGTTCTCAGCCCTTGAACCCTAAGCTGTCGTGCCCCATTGCCGAACAGAGGAGCCTGAGCAGTGCGAGTATGTGCCGTTACAGCGGACATGAGGGACCTACCTTAAAACATCATTGCATTGAGGCCCCTCCAACGACATGCAAGAGACAGAGATTGCCCTAAACCCTACTTGGTTCAAGCGTTACGGTGGAAACCGGAGCCGAAAAGCAGGGGCTCGACAGCATGGGCGGAGGAGAGAAGCGTAGCGCTGGGTACCAGCCCGAAGGCGAGCCCGTCGCCAAAGCTGCGGCCAAGGATCTGAGCATCACTGTGCATTATGCTACCTCTGGAGAGCTGCTCAAGACGGCGACCGTGTCCTCGAATGCCACAGTGGAATGGTTGAAGGCCATTCTCAATGATGGTTTAGAGGGCAGGGTGGTGCGGCAGCTGCTCAAAGAGAACGACTCGCTTCCGGACGACAAGACGCTTGAGGCTTGTGGCATCGCGCTAAACCCTAAACCCTAAACCCTAAACCCTAAACCCTAAACCCTAAACCCTAAACCCTAAACCCTAAACTCTAAACCCTAAACCCTAAACCCTAAACCCTAAACCCTAAACCCTAAACCCTAAACCCTAAACCCTAAACCCTAAACCCTAAGCCCTAAGCCCTAAACCCTAAACCCTAAACCCTAAATTCCCACCCAGGCCTGCTTAGGCCGTACCCACCCTTTTCAGGGTCCCTGGACCCAGCACCACACCCGACAGCGACAAACACCATCGCTTGGAGTTACTATGCAAGCCTAAAGAGTTGTGTTGAGCGTGAGCTGCACCTCCAGTGCCGGTGCAGTACCCCGCCTGGGGTACCCCGCCCCCCTTCTCCGATTCTCAAGTATTGAGAAACCTGGCGACCTGTTCCGAAAATGGCTTCTGCAGGTGGTCCCTGGGCCCCCCCCTGGCCCCCCCTCCGGAGCCCCTGGTGCCGGGCCCCTGGCAGAGTGTGTGCAGGGACCAGAGGGGCCGTATGGCGGGTCAGTCTGGGCGATTGCTCAAAACCCACAACCAAACCCAAAAACCTGGTTTTGCCCCCTTAGGCCCCCCTGCCCCCTGGCCCCCGCCCCCCCCCGGCCCCCCCTCTGCACCCCCCCCCCCACCCCCCTTCCCCCGCCCTCTTCCCCCCCCCCTTCCCCACCCCCCCCTCCGCCCCTTCTTCCCCCTGCCCCCATCTGTTTCTGCGTCTGTCCTACCCAACCGTTCAAAGGATGGGGGTGGGAAGTGGGAATTTAGGGCGTTAGCCCGAAACCCTAAAAGGAGAAAAGTTGGGTGGATGCCTGCGTAAGCAGGGGGTGGGAAAAATAAAAGAACCCAACCTTTCTGGTTGTGGTGGCTCCAACTTCAATACACGCCGCCGCGACATATGCCGCCCCCTCACACCCCCTGGGTGTGTTGGGGCGCCATCTCCGCATGAAATCTACTGCCTGACTTATCGGCCACGACGACAGTATTGAGTTCTGAGAACCCAGACTTTGGGTTTGGGGTTTAGGGTTTCGGGTTCGCAACTTTAAACGAGATTCGGTTGGAAGGTCCCATCCGCCGTGAAGCAACGAACCCCAGCATCCTGGAAATCTTAGCCCTCGAACCCCCCACTTATTGCGCCCAAACCATATGCAGCAAACCTACACTAGAGCGTAATGCGAACCCTGAACCCCGAACCTGCGACCAGAGCGCGCGTGTGGATGTCCTGAAGGCACAATACTCGTCTGAAAAAACTCCTTTTTTTTGCAGTCATAGCAAACTGAAGGGCCCAAATCCCTCTCGAACCTTTGAACCCGAAGCACGAAGCTCCAAAAGCCAGAAGCCTAAGCCCTTAAAGGGACCTTCACCTCCAAAAGTTGAAGAGAGCCCAAGCCCTAAAACCCCGAAACTCGAGGTTTCGTGTCATCTTGCCCAAGCAGAATTGGACGAGGAATGAGGCAGCGCTCTGGCTGCCTACTCTGTGTTTTTGTTGCAGGGTTGACTGTTGAGGGCTTAGGGTTTGACGCTTCGGCTTCAGGGTTGTGGCATGTCCAGTGGGTTCTTTTCTGGAGATGAGTTGGCAAGCTGTCAAGACTTTGTTTGCTGAGTTTTCGTTCTCACAGAGTTTGCACACCTGGTGTCCGAAACTTTGCAGACAAGTCTTCAGGCCAGGAGGAACCCGAGCCGACACTAGCACGCAAGACAGCAAATCCTTACGTTTACGGTTTAGGGTTCTCAGCCCTTGAACCCTAAGCTGTCGTGCCCCATTGCCGAACAGAGGAGCCTGAGCAGTGCGAGTATGTGCTGTTACAGCGGACATGAGGGACCTACCTTAAAACATCATTGCATTGAGGCCCCTCCAACGACATGCAAGAGACAGAGATTGCCCTAAACCCTACTTGGTTCAAGCGTTACGGTGGAAACCGGAGCCGAAAAGCAGGGGCTCGACAGCATGGGCGGAGGAGAGAAGCGTAGCGCTGGGTACCAGCCCGAAGGCGAGCCCGTCGCCAAAGCTGCGGCCAAGGATCTGAGCATCACTGTGCATTATGCTACCTCTGGAGAGCTGCTCAAGACGGCGACCGTGTCCTCGAATGCCACAGTGGAATGGTTGAAGGCCATTCTCAATGATGGTTTAGAGGGCAGGGTGGTGCGGCAGCTGCTCAAAGAGAACGACTCGCTTCCGGACGACAAGACGCTTGAGGCTTGTGGCATCGCGCACGGTGCAGTGCTCAAGGCCGTCTTACAAGAAGCCTTTCCTGTGCTCTATATCTCGGAGCCTTGCACGTTCACCGAACTCTCAAAGAGAGGAGACGGCTGGATCATCAGGTGTGGTGATGGAGACCTACAGGGCATGGTGGATGAAAAGGAACATGGGAGGCACGCTGATCTAGCCTACGTCCCCAGAGATGCCACGGGGGTCGTCGCTGCCATGAAGGAAGCTGCCCCGGGTCTCTCGGACATCCCAATTTGTGTCTCCAGCGATTGCGATGATGGTGGTCAGATCATTGTCATTGGCCACCCTGGGTCCGACCCAAAGAAAGGCTGCCTTAAAGCCCTGCACATTCGCAAGATGGTCGACGACGACCGCATCAGTCAGAAGGCTGACCCGGAAGACCCGGAGATGTCTGGCGTGTGGTCCCTTGCGACGCTGGAGCCCATAGACATGAAGGCAAGGCTGTACAAGGGCTTCAACTGCGACGAGGATGATGAAGGTGATGAGGATGTGAACAGCGAGATCTCGGCCCTCACTGGGATCATGAACGACAAGCTTCAGAAGCACTTCATCTTCAGCTTCAAGGACGAAGTTGCCAACGCCCCGATGATCTACGGTGGCTACGCCGGTGACGGCTCCATCGTTGGCGTGCTGACGTCCCGCATGTGGTCCTGATGCTAGGGGTGCTTTTTGGGGCAGCAGGGCCAAACATCAACAAGATTCAACAAGTAATTGCCTACTTTGAAGAGGTTCATTTTAAGTTGTCTGTGTAGGATGAATTATCTTGGGGGTTCGTTCTCGGACTGCTCCATGCCGGCTCCAAGACCCAAGCAGCTGGCAACCTGCAAGACTGAACATGTACGCACACATCAAGAAGTGGACACAGTTCTACATCTGTAAAGCTTCGTGGCAGGCTGAGGCTGTAGGAGACCCTGGATCCTAGACCGCAGCTCTCCCTAAGGCCGGAGAGTGTAGTTGAGCGACCTTCCACCGCCAACCCTGACCTCCCCGCCTAAATTCTTCTGCATCCCTTAGAAGAGCCGATAAAAGGACCCTTACAGGTTTCCATACGGGAACCTGGAGACAGCCTTGCAGGATTCACCAACGGAACCCTTGAAGGAATGTCGAAAGGAACCTTAGATCCCTGACTCCGGCGCGGCTCACCGAGGCCGTTTTTAATACTTGAAAGAAACTCTTAATGTAACCCTTCACTAGGTTTGGTTTGGGCTCCTAAAATGACGAGCCCAAGAAAACCTGCTAGGACCCGTTTCAAGCCTTTCAGACACCCTTTAACACCCGTCAGACTGTGGGTCATGGAAGGCTCCTGAAGCCGCAGGCTTGTAGAGAAGAATCCGCACAACAAGCTGGACAACAAGCCCTAAACTCCAAACTCAGACTTTCCGCCTGTCAAAGTACAACCCCCCCCCCCCACCCGACAAGAAACAAGACACACCCAAAGGCTGAACCCTAAACCTTAAACCAGGTAGTGCCGTTAGCAGGGTGGGGGGGGGGGCTGCTCGTTTGCTCCAGACGAGTTGTCTTTTCCTTCTAACCCTCCCTTTCTCGTCTTGACCAAGCCAGAACCCCCGCCAGGCCAGGACCCTTAACCCAAATACCCGAATGCCCTAAACCCTAAACCCTAATCCCTAAACCCAAACCCTAAACCCTAAACCCTAAACCTTAAACCCTAAACACTGAACCCTGAACCCTGAACCCTAAACCCAAAGCTCTAAACCCTTATCCCACATGCCCTAATGCCCTAACCCCATGCAAGCTCAGGTTCAAGCCTTGGGCAGCCGGTGTGAGAGGCGTACTCAGCAAGGGATCATTAAAAATCACAAGATGTACGGTAAAAAGCTCCTGAATTTTCTTGTTCGCCAAACGACTAAATTGCACCTTTCTTGACCATAGAGTTAGGATTGTTATTCAGGTGTCCACTCGCAAACAAAAAGAGTAAATCAATTGCTGTATGCGATGCACTTTCGGTCCAAGCCACTGCGGCTGTTACTCAAGCTCGGCGCAGAACTGTTGACCACGGCATTTGGGCTCCAAGGACAAACGCCAGAAATTCACAGCGCCGCTTCGGCAGGCATCCACCCAGCATTTAGGAAGAACCCATGAAGCGTCCACCAGAAGCCCCTAACCTTAGCCCCAGTTGTTCTCGGATTTAAAGACATGGCTTCGCCTCCTAGGCTGAGTTGATGCCATGGAAGACAGCTGGAGGGCACGATGGCCCATGCGCCTGCGTGCCTTGTGGTCGGTCATTCGGCCGCCACTTTTGAGACTGGGTTGCCGCTATATGGAAGTTGTACGTTTCTGCAAAGTATCATGTATACGGACATGTATATGCGTATTCCAAAATGTTTCGTTATCATGGTACGTTAAATTCAGTTACCATACGATGGAGAGCTGTGGCAAATTTCAGTGCCCGCCCCTAACAGCAACACCCAAGGAGATACCGGGAAATTGCTCCGGCAGCAGGACTGCTTTATGCGATTTGGCAGCGGCGGCAGTGGCAAAGGCAGACGGAGATGGCGGCAGAGGCCGTCAGAGAAGGCCGCTTCATGGAGCAGTGTTGCTGGGGTTGATGTGGAATGAACAATTTTGGACCATTGTGGACCTAATCCCTATATACCCTAAACCCTAAACCCTAAATCCTGAGCCCTAAACCCCTGTACAACCAACCCATATAGAAATTTTCATGTTTTTTTGCGCCCCTAGGCTCGTTGCTGCTCGTGAACGTGGAAGGCCTCGCTAAAGGTGCGAACCTTTCTGGCACCGTGTCTATCCAGACGCTGTGCTTGGGCAGCCTGTGTTGCTGTTGCCGAGCTTGAAGGACGTTGCCAGCAGCAAGGTACTAGGAAATTTGCTTCACAGCCTCTAAACAGAACCCAGGTGCACGCGGACGTTGAGATCGCTGATGTTCGATAATGAGAACCTGGGGACTGCCAAGAAGTTTTGTTCGATTGGTTTGAACTTCGAGACAACGATCTGAGCTAACTTGCACCCCCAAAAGACCTTGAGCCTTATAGCCTTTGAGCCTTAGATGAAGAGATGTCATGTGTTCTAACAGTATCCGAGGAGCCCTAAACCCTAAACCCTAAACCCTAAACCCAAAACCCTAAACCCTTTTAGGAAGATGGTGGAGTTGGTTAGCGACGCGGCTGAGCGAGCGACGCACTCGTCGCCGCTGTTGGAGTTGGGTGGCGACGGCTGGCTGGTCATGGCCAACATTAACGCTCATCTGATGGAGGCGTTTAGGGTTTAGGGTTTAGGGTTCAGGGTTTAGGGCCTTTATAGAATCTTTAGGGCCTTTTTTAAGCTCAACCTTGACCGGCCAGGGTCTGCAGGGGAGGGTTTGAGGGACTTTTTGAGCATGTTGAAGGATTTCAGATTTGCAGTGTTGGCTTCGCCGCTGAAAACTGGGTCTTTTCCAAAGGAGATTCTATCATGCTAGACCCAGCATTGAGGGGACATCGTGGGCTCCAGCTTTGGGAACAGCCATTCACTGCGACATCGTTTCGTCTGGCAGGGTTTCGGGGTTGTTTACGGTCCAAAGCTGGGCTCCTAGGTTAGGATCCGGTACTCATTGATACCCGAAGCCTTCTCCCAGGCCTCTTGCACATCCGAGGCCCCTGCGATGCTGAACCCGAAGCTCTCCAACTCTTAACTCAGCGCTGCAAGCCGAGCCTTCCCAATAAAACCCAAAACCCTAAACCCTGAACCCTAAAGCCCAAACCCTGAACCCTAAACCCTGAACCCCCAAAAGCCCAAAAGCCCAAAAGCCGGTTAAACCCCGAAAGCCCTCGGCCTTGGAGTTACTTGGTAGCAGCGGCCACGCCGCCGCGGCGTGCGGCTTCAAAGTGCGAGTGGTCGAGTCCCTCGTCTGCGCCAGTTCGAGGTTGAGGGTTGGTGCGAGTCAGGGCGAGGGGCTCGAGAGCTTAGGCAGGTTTCGGGTTGAGGGTTGAGGGTAGGTGGGCAGTGGGGGGCTGGATGGCTTGTGGGGTGGTTAAGAGGGCTCAGGGGGCTTAGGGGGTTTAGGGGATCTTGTGGCCCTCGATGCCTCCCGTTGGGTGCACAGGTTCCTGTATGGGCTGGTGAACGACCGGACCACCACCTCGAGACAGCAGCTGCGGGTGCCCGACTTGGGTTTAGGGTTTAGGGTCAGAGGGCTTGGGGTGGAGGGTTCCGGTTTTCTCCTTCCGAATGCAGAGATTGGCCCTCTGGGGTGTTGGCAGGTACGAGGGTGAAGAGGGAGCTCTTTCGTGAACCCGAAGTCCTAGCTTCAGCAGGTCCAAGGTTGCTGGTGCCGAACCAACTCCGGAAATCCCAAACCCTCAGCCCCAAGCCCTAAGCCCTAAACCCCGAACCCCTAAACCCCGAAGCCCTGAACAGGTCTATGTCGTGCGGGAGAGCGACTTGCGAAACTTGCCGGAGGCGCGTCGGGACTCTGGGCTTCAGGGTTGAGAGCCGCGAGGGTGTTTGCAGAGGTTTCAACGCGAAGGCCTATCGCGCATCATCTAGTATTCTATCATTGTTGTTTATATGTATAGATAGCACGATCTATGTTTTATATCATGATGATGATGATGAGGATGATGATGATGAGGATGATGAGGATGATGATGATGAGGATGATGAGGATGATGAGGATGAGGATGATGATGAGGATGATGATGATGATGAAGATGATTGCGATGATGATGAACATCATATAAATATACTTCGCAGTATTACATATTAGATGTTGCTATGTTTCAGAATAGTGTATTCTATATAAGAGTTATATACTATAGAATTTAGCATACAATGGCAAATCATCACATAGCACACGCACACGCACACGCACACGCACACGCGCACGCACACGCACACGCACACGCACACACCCACACCCACACCCGCACGCGCACGCGCACGCGCACGAGCACGCGCACGCGCACGCGCACGCGCACCCGCGCACCCGCACACCCACACACCCACACACCCACGCACGCACGCACGCACGCAC